ACTCGCTTATGCATGCAAAGTCCAAGAAGTGCCATTACGTGATAGCACGGTCTGGGGGAGGAGGCGCCATTTTGGCGTGTGGAAAGGTTGGGACAGCCAATTACGTCGTCCCATCTAGTTCTGGACAAGTCAGCGGCACTTGTCAGAATTGTAGAAGGGTAGCTGCAGGCCTTTAAAGGCCAGTCCAAGGGGACTCGTGCGAGGGCACAAAACAAGGGCAGCTTGCGGTATTATTACCGCCTGATCAGTCAGCCGATGCAGTGCGCGGTGAGAGAGTTTTCGCAAGTCTGTGAGTGCAGCCTAGGGTGAACATGTTGTTGTCGAACTCGTTCTTTCACGCAGTCCCTGGCTGGAACCCATGACATGTCTCAGTGTGCTTCGACAAATTCATTACATAACAACTCCACAAGACATGAGAAACAAAGAAATACCGCTTCAATTGACTCGCGTCTGTAGCACATTTCGCAATGACTGCCATTCTTGATTCTGAGGCCCACTTTCACCGGCGATGCAAGGAGATCAACTTGAGTCAGCCCACTGTGGGCAAGTTGGAAGCTCTCGGGATTAAGACGCTGGGGACCACAGCACATCTAGTCGGCATCCCCGGTCAGGAGCTGTCTGAAGAGGCATTGAAGGAGTGGCTTGAGTCAAATCTCCTGGGCTTGTCCTTGGGTGATGTCGCCGCCTTTAAGCGTTTGCTGTTCGAGTCTCAAACCCTTCAGCTCAGTGCACTTCGGCAATCAATCTTGGATCCCGACAATACCACTAAGCAGAAGCTACCTGAAGCCGAGAAATCACAGCGTCTGTCCATGTTCAAGACTGCCAATCCTGGATTGCACATCGACTCGACCATGGAGCCTGGGCATTCATTGTTGGACATGACCTGTGAGCAGCATCGTGAAAATGTCTTCAAGCATATACCGATTGAGAAATGCGTTTCCCGTCAGCATGAGCTACTTAATCACCACAAGCCGTCAAAAGTACTTGAGGTAGAAGCAGGGAAAATCGCTGTGCGCGAGCATGCGGAAACCACAGACCAACCTGTGCATGGCGCATTGGCTTTGCTTGAAGGGTTTAAACGTCGAGGTTATGCTTATGTTATGGCCAGTTGTGTCAGCCTTGGCGCATATGAAAGCTACCTGGCCAAGCTTATGATGCACTTTCGCCGGCCGGCCCCAGCAAATCACCAGCGTGTCAGCATTGAGCAGCTGATCCAGGCCGACAAAGCTGTGTGGGTGCACATGCTTGAAGAAAACCGAAGGCCCCGTGCAAATCCCGATGGCAGCTTTGATATGGACCGAGCACTCCACGCAGCGCTTGAATCCTATGCGGTGTCCTCTCTACTTATTCCCCTGCCTGCGGGAACTAAGCGCAAGAACACAGCCAATGTGGATCATGCGAACAAGTGGCGTGGCCATGAGGGTCCCAAGGGCGGTAAAGGTTCCGGTAAGGGAAAACAGACCGGCAAAGGCAAAGCCGGGAAGGGCAAGGGCGCTCCGGATGCCAGCAGCATTCCCATGCCCTTGGTGTTGCGACAAAAGGGAGCGAAGCCGCTCACGAAGCAGGGACAACGCATCTGTTTTGCATACAACTTGGAAGGCTGCTCGCATCCCAGCTGCGCGAGGGCCCACGTGTGTGCCAAATGTGAAGGATCACACCCCATCGGTCAATGCCCAGCCGTGGGTGGGACGTGACAGAAGGATCATGTCGTGGTCGATGATCCTGCTGAGCGCGCCCATGACTGTTCAGCTGCCGCTACCTTGACAGGAGACCTCAGTGCGCAGCAGGATCATGTGCATGACACCGCTGAGGATTTTGCAGCCGCTTGCCTCAGTAAGCCCAGAATTACTTCTGATGACATAATACAGCTCATAAGCTTGTTGCCCTCAGAAGTACCCGCCAGACCACATCCCGACATCTCCCACCAATCCAGTTTTTCCTTCAGTGTCGGTGCTTATGTCCAGGGCCCCATGTTGGGGCTGCGCCGCGCATGCCATGAATTCCCGACCGTGTGTCGGATGCTGGCCGCCTATGCTAAAAGTTGGGGACATGAATTGCCGTTCACGTCCCTGTCCTTGATGGCGCAGACGCTCACTCCGCTGCACGCAGACCGGAATAATGCCAAGGGTTTTCCAAATTTCTTGATCGGTGTGTCCACCTTCAAGCAGGGCCATCTCTGGCTCGAAAGCACTTCCGGTGCTCATGCTGGGCCGTTGCCCCATGCACACTTGCGAGGTGATCTTTTGCCAATATCCAATACATGCGTTGCCTTTGACGCCCATCAGCTGCATGCCACCATGCCATGGGATGGTTACGGGTAGTATTAGCCGGGTTTGTCATCCGCGATTTCGCGGCCCTTTCCGAAGCTGACCATTCAGCTCTGGTTTCCCTAGGGTTTAGTCCCCCTGACCTGGCCACAGGTGACGTCCTTCAGCAGGGCACCATGATACCGATTCCACGTCCCATCTTTCGGGCCCCGGCTACCCCAGTTGTCTTTGAGCTCTTTGCGGGCACAGCCCGCGTTACTGCATGTCTCCGGCGGCTGGGTGTCACGGCGCACGGTATCGATCATCAGCACCTGGACTCTGCAGCATGTTCCCCCTTGATTGCGGACCTAACCACGCAGGATGGTCAGGACCTAGCCATGTTTTGGCTATGCAATCCGCTGCTGTCAGCTGTCGTCGCGGCGCCACCTTGCGGCACCTGTAGCCGCAAGCTTCTGGGGCTCAAGCCTGTTTGTAGTGTGAGTGGGGAGGCGTAGCTTGCTCTTCCTGTGCGTTGGAGTGCGGCCGTGCTCCTCGTGCAGACGTGGCTCATCCTCTGTAGGGTGGGTCAGCGTAGTTAGTGGGGCGGCTGGGGCTAGGTGCCATAGAGGTGCTCGGGCAGGCTTTGTTGGCTCGGCGTACTCTTTTTCAGCTGCTGGTAACGTAGAGTGGTGCAAGCAGGCGTTGCTGCAATCATTCTTTTGACACCGGCATTGCATATCAGGGCTGTAGCATTGGACTTGCTTCTTGAAGAATTCTGCTCTGACAGCGTCGCTGCCTGGCTAACTACGGACCTTGCTGCATCAATCTGGTTACAGAGTGACTCGCTGGAGATTCTTATATCAGCGGTGGACGTGCTATCATACAACTCAGCGCGCCAGTTGGTGCTCTGGACGGCAGTACATTACCCAGCTGTTTTTGAGGAATTTCGACGCAGTGAGCACTCTGCCTTTTTTGCTCTCCGCTTACACAGACAAAGCAGTTGGATCGTGTGATCCGGTGCCAGGTGCCTCCCTGGGTCCCAAGTCCCAGGGCTGCGATACTCAACCTGCCGGAGCGTGAGTGACTTCTGTGTAATGATCGCAAGCCACAGTATTTCTTTTGGCCTTTTGCTTGGTTGCATACATTTGCTGGCTTTTTTACCACAGTTTTACATCATGGCGGCCTGTTTTCAACGTGGAAGTCAAGCTATTTGGGATGACGAAGTGCTGGAGCGGGATTTTTCCCTTTCACGTATCGCAGCAGAAGCGAGGGTTGGTGGGCGAGCCGTGAGCCCACCTGGAGTCTCATCGTCTCTTCGAGGGCCGAACTCTCTGGAGGCTAAGCATATCGGTGGACATGATCTAGCAATTGCGCGCAGTGAGAGACAGCGTTCTGTCTTGAAGAGAAGCTTACAGCGCGCGCGTAGGCGTGCGCAGGAACATGGGCACACCATGTACAAGGGTCGTTTGGTTACAAGTCATGACATTGGACTCCCTGGAGAGGCCCACTCGGTGGGCGTTCGTTGCTTGCGGCAGCGCCAGGTGCCCCGAGAAGGAATCACAAACTCCATCAAAGATTTGCTGCCTGCTTGGCCGCCGCTCCAGGTGGATCTTGAAGCTCGCTGCAGGGTGCAGGTGAGGCGTAACCAGCTGGTCATTCTGACCTTGAATCTGGGGGGTCTGACTAAACCGGGATACGACGAGATTCAGCAGTGGCTTCACTCTCCACAGGTTTGCATGCAAGTGCACATAGTGATGTTGCAAGAAACGTGGAGGCCTTCGGCAGATTTTGTTGCTGGTCAGTGGACGTGGATTCAGTCAGGACCTGTGAAGTCGTCACACCTAGGAGTTGCTGTGTTAATCAATCGGAGACTTGCCACTTCCAAGGAACTACGCACAGCGGAGCCTATCAAAGGCCGCATCCTGCGTGTGCTCATCCCTGCAGCGGCTTCTCATCCGCTCAGGCGCCGACCCATCACAGTCATAAGCCTTTACCAACAGGCTAGAAGTTCTGAGCAGCACGAAATCTATCAAAAACGCGAGAAGGTTTGGAGCAAACTCAATCAGGTCGCAGCCTCGGTTCCCTTGAGACACTGGATGATCATCGGTGGTGATTTCAACACGCCGCTGCAGTCGCATGAATCTTGTGTACCGGTCAGGGATTGGTATCGTCTGCTGTCACGCCGGCTGATCATGAGCAGTTTGCTCAATTCTTACAGGCCCATCAGTTGTGTGCTCTCAACACCTTCTGCAGCGCCGCGGATGCGGCCACATATGTAGGGCCTGAAATTCGCACCCAGATTGACTTCATACTGTGTCGGCGATCGCAGGCAGGCCGTACCGGTCGGCAAGCCATTCCAATTCCGCAGATCCGCCTGTCGGCTTGGCGCACTGGGGCTGGGGCTCAGCATCTTGTGGTCGGTGCCATCCTCACTGACACCAGGTCGGAATGGTCCAGGCAAGCCCTCCCTGAACGACTCGTTCAGGCACGACCTGATGTGAACAGGATGACGAGTGAACTTCAGCACTCCACTGCAGCCAGACAGGCCTATCATGATTGTGTGCGACAGCACATGCCTGCCACCATCAGCTCCGAGAGCGACCTCATGCTTGTGGACCAGGCACTGCATCGAGCCGCATGTCAGCTGTATCCATCCCATCCCGTTAGTGCACAGCGAGCGTGGGAAACGCCGGAGGTTAGGCTGTGCCTGCGAAATGTCTGGCAAGCTAAGCGCGCGAGCGTCACCTTGCACTGATGCGCACCGCCAGGTGTCATGTCAGGGATCTTTGGGAATGCTGGAAAGGCCATGTGTCCTACCATCGTCAGGTACGGGAGCTGCGCAGACTAAGCAATCACAAGCGGCGTCAGCTTTGGAGCGAGCAGCTTGAGCGAGCTGAGGCTGCTCTGGACCGGAATGACAGTCATGCTTTCTATAAGGTAGTCAAGCAGTTGGCACCACGACAGCCCAGGGAGCGTGTGCAGCTTCGGGATGACCACGGTGCAGTGCTGTCGGTTGAGGCCGAGCAGGATGCCATGTTGCAGCATTGGACCAAGGTGTTTGATCATCGTAGCATTCCTGTTCAGGGCTGGGTTCTTTCTGAAGCCTTGGATGTCAGCTGGGATGAGGCGTGTCAGGCGATGCGAAAGTTGTCGGCACGTAAGGCTGTTGCGCCAGGCTGTGCGCCGGGTGCGGCTTGGAAGTATGCGCCGGATGAGGTGGTAGATTGTCTGCAAGCATACATGCAAGATGTCTGGTCTCAAGGGGTGATAGACTTGGATCCTCGCTTAGCTAGGGCGTGGTTGCACTTTCTGACCAAAGCCGGTCGGTTGTGTCGCAAACCAGGCGACTTGCGGCCCATTGCCCTCCAGCCGTCAGCTGGTAAAGTGCTGAGTATTGTACTGTGTGCCAGACTCCAACCACATGTCGATGCGCTGGCACAGGCATGGCCTCAATTTGCATACCTGCAGAGACGAGGCACCTCTGAAGCAATCACTCGTGTTGTTGCCCATTGCAGTGCCATTCGGGCCCAGCTAAAGGAGCAACAGCGGGACATTCATGCGAGGCATGCTGGGGTCCAAGTTAAACCCTTTGTCGGAGGGGCTCAACTGTCAATCGACATGAGTCAAGCCTTCAATCTCATCCCAAGGGCGGAGATGTGGCGTGCCTTGATCTGGGCTCGTGTTCCGGAACCGCTTGTCCAGGCCATTATGCAGCTCCATGAGTGCAGCAGCTACCAGTTGGGCCGCCCAGGTGATGAAGATACGGTGGCACACATTGCTGTGACCCGAGGGTTGAAACAGGGTGATGTCATTGCCCCGGCATTATGGGTTGTATACTCCTGCTACGTCTGTTTTCGCACTGATGAACTCTTAGGTGCGTCGTGGTGCGATGAACATGCCACCATTTTTGCTGATGATCATCACTTCAGTTGGACACTTAGATCCTTTCACGATGGGGAGATCATGTGTGATCAGATTCAGGCCATCTTCACTCTGTATGCCTCGCTTGGTCTCTGTATCAATCCTGAAGTCTCACATGTTGGTTGCGGTCAAAGGCCTGGAGGCGGCGCGATGGCTTCGCAAGCGTAGGGTCAAGCACAAGACTGATGCAGGTCACTGTGTGCGATACAACATGTACACCAAAGCGTACCTGCCTCTGCATCAGCAATTCCCGTATCTAGGGGTCGTACTGTCGTACGGCAACTACGAGGACCTTACCCTCAAGTATCGTTTGCAACAGGCCAACCTGCATCGCAACCGTTTGGCGAGAATCTTGCAAGGACGGGGGGGCTTATCGCTTGGTCGCCGACTGCGCATCTGGCATGTGTGCGTCCAGACTGCCCAACTTTACGGGTTGTTGGCCGTTGGTCTAACGACTTGGGGGTATCAACAACTGCACATCCAAAACGCTGAAACACTTGAGAGCCTTGGCGCGCTCCCCACGTCATCTTACGCAGGAATCGGACAGCGCCTTTATGCAGCGCCTCTCCATCGAGGTGCCTCTCCTCAAGCTTCAGCGTGGTGCACGGCAGTGGTTGGAGCGCCATCAGCAGGATCATCCGTTTCCCTGTTATGCTGTTGCTGCGGTTTGTGCGCGCGCTCAGTGTGTCCTTGCAGAGCTATCTACGCTGCAGCCCAGACGGCACAGGTCTTCGGGTCAACCGGCTCAGGAGGGCTCGCAAGCCCCTGATGGGACTCAGGCCTCGCATGCAGCTGCCACTTTGGTTGAGCTGCCGTCCATGCAGTCGGTCTATGAATGTCAGGAATGTGGACAGACCTTTCCCACATTACACTTGCTGAAAACACACGAAGGAAAACGTCACAAGCTGCTGGCACCAGTTCGTCATTTTGATGCCACGGATCGGGCCTCATACTCCAAGGAGGGGTTGCCCATTTGCCGGTTCTGTGATGCCAAATTCACGAAATGGGGTAGTCTCCAGAGGCACCTGAAGCGAAATGGTTGCCCGGCACTTCGCAGGCAGGTTTCGCCGCCCAAGGAGCCCACTGCAGCAGCCCCGAAACCAACCCCCCCCCTTCTCGAGCCGAGATTGGGGGGGTTGCCTTGGGCCCATTTCCTGCCAAAAGCAACCCCCCCCTTCTCGGGCCGAGATTGGGGGTTGCCTTGAGCCCATTTCCTGGAAGTTCAGAGCCAGCGCGATCCAGTGTGGTAGGGTCGGCTCCTGTCAATTCTGAGGCTGACCGATCTGATGATGCTCCCTCTGTTGCCGCTGCTCTGCCCTCAGTTCCCTCGGTGCCATCGGCTGCCTTATGTGGGGTGCAGGATTCTTCAGAACCTCAGCCGGTTCTGAATGCAGGTGCTCAACCGAAGACCTCGATCTGGCATAGCATGCCGCAGATTGAAACTGAGTCTCCGGATCAGCCTGTGATACAGTGGGCCAATGTGTTGGCTTTGCCTGCTCCTAGGCGATGGACCGATCTTGTAGCTGTGCCTGGTGTTGTGCAAAAATTGAAGCATCATTGCTCGATTTGCGGTCAGTGGCTAGCCACCTCAAACCAGATCAAACGGCACATTCGTCAGCAACATCCTGAAATCATGCAAAGGCATGAGGCCATGCTCGTGCATGCAGGCAAGCAGTGGGCTCGATCGTGCGTTAGCCCGTGTTCAGTTTGTGGAGCGAGTATTGCGGACACGCGCCAACATGCAGGCAAGTGTGTTGTGATGCAACAAGCGTGTCTGATACAGTGCGAGCTCACGCATCGCTCAGGCGGAAGCAGCTCAGGCGTCAGCTCAGGCGTCCGTCCTATTCGGACATCTGCTACCGGCAGCCTCGAAGCTAGCGGAGATAGCGGACATGGATGCGGACCTCCGCAATGCCAAACGGCCCAGGGAGATTGCCAAGCCGAAAGCTCCCGGACCCAGGAAGGGGAATCCTCAGGGCGGCAAAGGCCGCGGTCGCGGTCACCGACAGTGGGGCCGGGGAGGAGGGCAGGGACGTACTTCCTTGGAAGAATTGGTGCGCCTCATGGCGCAGGTTCTACTTCGGCAAGGAGATCAGTTACAGCGCCTGTCCTTAGACACCGGATTCTTCCTGATTCTTCAAACCCCTCCGCAACCAGGCTCGATCACCAACACGATGTTTCGGGTCACTTCGGCTTGGAAGAAGATGATGAAGGAAACCCCGGAAAAGCTCGACCGGCCTCTCCGCCAGAATATGATCGAATGCCTCTTCCTCGAGCTTGCGGCACGGGCTCAGTTGGTTCGGAAGCCGGAGGCGAAAGCAGAGGCACAGCAACTGGGCATCATCAACGACAAAGGCGACTGGAACTACCGGATCTGGAACGCCACGAGCCAGCAGTTGGAAGTCGACCAAAAGCGAATGCCCCTGAAGGCGGACACATTCCTGGAGCAGATCGACAAAGCCACGGCGATTGTGCGCCGACCGGATGTGATCACCCGCTTTCAGGCCATTGCCCCACTCTCGGAGACGACGGAGAACGCCAGCATTCCATTTCTGTTGGACCTCAGTCTGAGGGAGCAGGAGCTTCACAACATCATGTTGGAGTGGTGCGAGCTGGCGGTCTTCGAACTGCTAGCAGGGCGACTTCGTCGCGCAAGGCTCAAGCGTCCCGCGCAGCTGGAGAAACTTCAGGAGCTGTTGAATGCACTCTGAGTCGTGTGATCCTCAGAAACCCAGGAAATCAGTGTTATGCAAATGCGGTTATCATGGCACTGTCTAGGCTGCTTCAGCCCATCTGCTATGCTGGGCACAGGTTCGCATGCACCCACCTGGGGCAGGTGCTCAGGGCTGTGCAAAATGCTAAAGTGTCGAAGGCCCTCACCCTGCGCAACTTGGCTGCGTGGTCCAGCTTGGCAGATCAGTGGTCGGAGCCCTATCGGCAGCATGACGCAGCCGAGTTCTTGCAGCATGTTCTGAGTTCGGTCGATTCCGTCCTCGCTCTCAGTCCATGGGAGGCTTTTCCGGATGGGGATGATGGATCACTCACGCGTGATCGGGGCTCTGGCGTTGTCCTCATTCCCATGCGTAGACCAGATCAGCAATTGCATCCGGACATCCAGGCCAGTGTGGACGACTGGCACCAGCAAAGGCACCTTCATGCGTTTCGCTCAGATGCCGAGTGGGTTGTACTTCAGCTTGACCGTTTTAAGGGTCGTGGGGTCTTTCAGGTTCGTGACAATGCCGCGCTGCCCATTCCGGGTCGCCTATGCTTGCCAGTGTGCACCTCTCGGCATGCCGTGCATCATCAGATTTATCACACCACAGCTGTGGTGTTGCACTATGGTGCTCAGGTGTCCTCGGGGCACTACCGTGTTTTGCTGATGGGGCAGGGGTCGGGGAATGCCGGTGCAAGTGCTGTGCATTACATCACAGATGACGACCGTCAGGCTGTGCGTTGTGGAACATCCGAGCTTGAAAATTTGGCGCCCCGAAGCTACTTGCTCTTCATGCAACGTGCGACGCAGCCTGTCCTGTCGGGTGATGCGCTCCATGCCTGATGCCGCCTCTCTGTCTGTGCTTGCTCCAGGGTCAGTGGGTTTCATTAGTGTTTGCGTTTCTACATGTCGCGAGCGCTTGATGTGACTGGCCATGCATTGTCTTCAGTGTCACATGCGGCGGATGCCGTGATGACATGTGGTGCTGCTGGGCATTTGCACTCTCCTGGGCAAGCGCAGTGTGGTGAGACATGGCAGCGTGTACTTTTGGGCATGCCGGCTTCCTTGATTCTTTCAGATGAGACTTTGGCGATGTACTTGGTCATTCGTGGTATACAGATAAATATGATTCGTGATGCTGGTATCCGTATCTATTTTGAGCAGTTTCCAGCGGGCTTGGAGCATCGTCATGCCATCACTCGGCAGATACTTGAGGAACTTGAGGGTGCCGATATGTGGCACCACCTTGCCTTCTTTCGTTTGATGCTGGATGGAGATCATAAGGAAGATTTCTTCGAGATGGCATATACACTTATTTTACATCGCATGCGGGAGGACCCTCGGCCGTTCCACTTGCTTGTTCGCGAAAGTGAATACTCATGGGCCTGGTGCGATGCTCTGGCATCTGATGAGACTAGACTGCTCTCCACTGCTTCGGATGTGGCTTCAGATGTTGCTCCAACTGAGCGGGATGTGGATTCCGATATGTCTCATGATTCCTTCGACTCTTTTCTTTATGACTCTGAGCTGTGAGGGTTGCTTAAGTGTAGGTAGGAGGTAGTGTTGTTGCCGCGGTTTCACATGTGAAGGCGACCACATTGTAGTTCCCACCTTTCCGTAAGTGTCACAGTGAGGGTGACCGCTTGTGCATCCCGAATCCCATGTTCAGTGTCTCGACTTTGCTTTGGGCTGGTGACAGCCTCTTTGCTTTGTACAGCTTCTCTACCGTTGCAGCTTGCTTGCAATCTTTTGCAACTTTCGCGAATTTAGCTGCACTGCAGCCGGAACGAAGTTCTGTTCGTGTCACGTAAGATGGATCCAACCTGTCTGCGCTTCAAAGTCAAAAAAAAGTCACCTGTAGCCGTGCGAGGGAGATCCAGGTTTACGATAGCTCAGGTACGCCCGTCCCTGGCCCGCCGCCACTTAGGTCCTCTGAATTCCCCGACGGTTTACCACATCTTCAGGGTTCCAATCAGCAGCGAGTTGCAGCTGCCAACGCCTTGTATCAATTCTTGGCCAAGATTGCGATGGAATGTCACCGTCGTGACGTGCTTTTCGTGTGCGAGAATCCGCACCGCTCCTGGTTTTGGGCGACTACCTTCTTCCAAAGCATTGCGCATCTATGCCCTTACAGGACTTCCTTTGACCACTAGCGTGTTTGGGGGCGAGCGGCCCAAGCGTACCACCCTAGCTTCCACTCATGATGTCTTTTCGTCATTGCAGCGCTCCTGTCCAGGTAAAATCACCTGCGCACCTGCATGCGCCATGGGGCCTGACCTCCCAAGGGTTTGCCACCAAGGAGGAAACCGCCTACCCGCCGCCCTTGACGGCTGCTATAGCTCATGCTGTGGCCTCTCATTTAGTGACCGCCGGCTGGCAGCCTCCACAAGCCTTGCCCAAGCCAGCCAGCTTGCTCTCAGCGTGCCGTGCAGCTGCTGGAAATCAGCCTGCGGCTGCCAAATTTCCAGCTCTTGTGCCAGAGCACTGCCAAGTGCTATTAGTTCGCGGCCCGCAGTCGGCTCTCGACGCCGCGCCATGTGCCCCCATGGGTCGCCTCAAGTCCCCATGGGACCTTCCATCTGCATGTACTGCTTCCGTCCGGCGCATTCCAGCCCATGCGCAACTTCTTCGAACCGTGCCATTGTCGGTCAAAAAGGGGGACAAATCTTCAGCTCTGACCCTGAATGGGGACAATGCTTCCGCCGCGACTGCGAACCCTACCGAGCCCATTCTTGAGCAAGCCTGGGGCGTGCCCTACTCCCCGGACGCCTTTGTTGAGGCTGCGTGTAAAGCAGGACATCCCAAACTACTGAAAGTTCCTTTGCCGCAAGCTCTTAACAAAGCTGTTGAACTTAACAAATCTTTGACTTCTGATGAGCTGCTAAAGTTTAGGGAAAAATGGTTTGAGCGGTGGGAAGCCAGGGCAGCAGCCTTGGCAGCACTTAAGGCCAAGATGCCACCCCACTTAAGGGATATTTTAGGGCCAAAGAAAATCCTTTTGTGGAAAGAGCTTCTACAGGACATAGGGTATGAGGATATGGGGGTGGTCGAGGAAATGATCAGTGGTACAGACTTAGTGGGTCAAGTTCCGCTTACAGGATTGTTCCCCCAGGTCTTTAAGCCCGCCTCCGCATCCCCGCAGGAGGTTCACCGCAAGGCATCGCAGACCAGGAAGCAAGTCTTGGAGTCGGTGCGCTCGCAAGGCGAGCTGGATCGTGAGGTGAAACGCAAAACTGCTGAGGAACATGACAAGGGTTGGCTGGAAGGACCAATCGATCCTGACGATCTGGAAGATGGGGCCCTAGTCAGTAGGAGGTTTGGGTTGTCGCAAGGTTCCGGGGATTCCCAAAAGGTGAGGCTTATAGACGACTTATCAGGAAGCTCTGTGAACGCGGCCGTGCAAGCCTGCGAATCTCCACAGCCGCACACGACTGACGTGCTGGCTTGCTTGATTCTGCAATGCTTGGAATCGTTCCCCAGGGATAACCTTAAAGGTCGAAGCTACGATCTCAAGTCCGCTTATCGCCAGCTGGGTATAAGTGAGGATGCACTAAAGGACGCTTACGTTGCCTTCCACGATGAACAGTCTGGCCAACCTTCAGTACATCGCCTGAAAGCCTTACCCTTTGGGGCAGTGAGGAGTGTGCACTCTTTCCTCAGAACCGTGCACTCGGTGTGGACGCTCGGGTGCCACCTGGGCTTCCTGTGGACCTGCTACTTTGACGATTTTCCCACACTAGCTAGGCAATCAGATTGTGCATTCACTGCCGACCACATCCCCCGCTTCTTTAGACTCCTGGGGTGGCAGTTCGCGGAGGAGGGTAAGAAAGCCCAGGGTTTCGACAGCACGTTTGAATCATTGGGAGTCAGGTTTAATTTGGAACCTTTTAGCAGCGGACGTGTGGACGTCGGGAACACCGACAACAGAGTGCAAGAGCTCCTAGCCGCCCTTACCGGTGCGGTCGAAAGCAAGGAGCTGCGCTGCAAAGATGCACAGCGGCTCAGGGGCCGGTTACAATTTGCCGACGGCCAAGTCTTCGGGAGCGCCAGCAAACTTTGTCTCAGGGAGTTGGATACGCATATCGCTACTGGCCAAACGAATCTTGGGCAGGATGCTCTTACTGCCTTGAACCGGTACGCGCTACTCCTCAAGGACTCAAAGCCACGCGTGCTGGCGAGGCCAGCCCACTCCCCGCGATACATCTTCACTGATGCAGCGTATGAGATGAGTGCTCAAGGCCCCAAGTGTGGCATAGGTGGTGTGCTTTATGATCACGAGGGCAAGGTGCTGAGTTTCTTCTCGCATGAATTGGACCTGAAGCAAATGGAAAAGCTTGGTAGTGCCAGTAAGAAAACCATCATCTTCGAGGCGGAACTTGTTGCGTACATCGCTGCAATTGTGCTATGGCGCAAAAGGATCATGCATCATGCCTTAGTGGCCTATGTGGACACTAACAGTGCTCGTGACGTTTGCATTTCGGGGAGAGCAAGAAACGACACGGGCAGGATGCTGATCGAGCTACTCCTTTCGGTTGAAGACATGGCAGGTCTAAACACTTGGATAGCACGCGTACCGAGCCCTTCGAACCCCTCTGACATTTTGTCTAGAGAGCTGGTTAAAGTCGTGAAGACAAAAGCAGGTAATATCAAGGCAACCCCAGTTGCCAAAACGCTTGATGACATCCTTGCTTAGGACCGCGGTTAATCGGGGGTGAGTGTGCTTGCCCTGTGACTTGTGTGCTTTGCGGACTGCCTAGTCCCATGGCCTTTGGGCATTGTGTCGTATGCGATGTGCCTCAACCGCAGCTGCGGTTGAGCATGTCGTTGCAGGAGAATCGCCCGACGTCACCAGTGAAAATGAAGACCTTGCGAGTGCTGCTTCCTGAAGGAATTTTTACAATATATATATATATATATGTATATATATCGGCGTTCTTTGCAAATAGATTCACAATTCATTTATCCTTTAGCGCTGCCGTTTCTGCTCAATCGGAAGAACAACTATGAAAATTAAGCTAGCGGTCAACGGGTTGATAGCGCTTTAATTTTCGTGTTGTTGTAAAACTAGGTTAGTTTTACTTCTTCCGATTGAGTTGGAAAGAAAACTTTCAAAGTGATTTTCTCTTGCGAGCAATCCTTGTGTGCATGATGTATGACATGCTCCCGCCGTGAGGTTGTGCTCAAGGGAACAAGTGAAGGCGGCATGGCAACATGGGCATAAATTTTTGTCCCGCCCGCCCGCCCAGTGATAATGACGCAAACCCTTGCCGCTACTGCTTCTTGGGCCGCTGGCAGCAGCCAACTTGTCGACTTGAGAATATGCTCTTGCTTGACTTTTGATCGGCTTTCGGCATGTCTCGCCGAACCATGCATCGTGTGCCAGCTGGTGGACTGCTTAGTCCCATGGAGAGGTGTGTTTCCCTATCTTGCCTTGCGGGGTGAGTGTGCTTGCCCTGTGACTTGTGTGCTTTGCGGACTGCCTAGTCCCATGGCCTTTGGGCATTGTGTCGTATGCGATGTGCCTCAACCGCAGCTGCGGTTGAGCATGTCGTTGCAGGAGAATCGCCCGACGTCACCAGTGAAAATGAAGACCTTGCGAGTGCTGCTTCCTGAAGGAATTTTTACAATATATATATATATATATATATATATATCGGCGTTCTTTGCAAATAGATTCACAATTCATTTATCCTTTAGCGCTGCCGTTTCTGCTCAATCGGAAGAACAACTATGAAAATTAAAAGCTTGTAGAAAGCAGTAGCCATGTAGGGTACTTAAAGCAGTAGCCCGGGTTGGTCGTAGCTCTTGGTTAAGGCCTCGTACCTGGACCTGAACCCTTTAAAGAGCCGAGGCCTCTGGTCGGAGCTCCTAAGGTAGTGAGTAGTGTAGCTTGAAGAAAGCTAGTACTGTAGGAAACTTGAAGCCTGGCTAGAAGGTCTAGGCGCCCTCGTGAGCCATGGCCATGGCAAGCCTGAATAAGGCGTTTTTTTTTCTTGGTGTTCCTGGTGCTGAGCCTGACGAAGGCGACCGGTGCTGCGGGCCTTCCCTGGTGGAGGGTCCGTTACCACCAGGTCAACAAGTGCTATGTGGTAGTCCGAGAGGACTTGGCCTCCTGGCGAGAACTCACGGAGGATGAGGTAGACGCTTTGGAGAGGGTGATGAAAACATCCCCTGAGATCCTCCGGTACGTGTTAGAGTCCGGATGGAATGGGGACAGCCTGCAAAAGCCTTTCTGGAGCCCGGGGAGGGCATGCTGGCAACGGGCATTCGAAACCCCGTATGCGGCAAAAGAGATCCCGATCGGCGCCAAGCCGAAGGCGAAAGCCAACAAGCGGGGCAGCTCGCAAAGAGCCAAGAGCAGGAACAAAGCAAAAAGCTCGAACAGAGCAACTAGCCAGCCTCCGAAAAAAGAGCCGAAGGAAGAATATTCCTACACGTATACGAACTATACACCGACGGAGGAGGCAGAGCCTGAAGAAGGCAAAAAAGGCCGAACAGGCCAAGAAGTCAAGTTCGACTGCAGAAGCCAGCGATGGCAGGACGACACCGACGACGACGGTGATCCCGTCCGATACTCGACCCACGATCAGTGGGGGAGCCATGGCTAAGCCAGCAGCAGTTCCTGGGAGCCTGCACAAGGCAGCTGGCAAGGCTGGGGCGGGAGCCAGGAATGGCAAAGTTGGGGCTGGACGGAATGGCAAGAATGGACTCAGCCGAGTCCGTGGCAGGACCAGAGCACATGGGGAGATTGGTCCTTTGCCAGCCAGCACAAGTCCGAAGAGGACTATTACAAAGGAAAAATGAAGTCCGAAAAGGACAAGTCCGAAAAGGACACCGACGAGATCGACACGGACGAGGAAAGCTCGACCTGGAAGGTCAGCAGGGGCTACCTGTCCCAGTGTCGGCGGCTGGAGCGACGGAAGTTGCAAAGAGAAGGCCGGGCAGTGCCTCCGGAGCTCCAGCCCCGACAGACAGCAATGTCGCAGAAGAAAAACGATGTTCGTCGTTACCTCCAAATACAACTCAACTATTTGGAGGAGGAGCTCGAAAAGAGCAGGTCCAAGACCCAAAGGGCCGAACTCTGGAGCACGATCATGCAGAAAAAGAAAGAGCTGAAACAGCTCTATGAGGAGTTAGGGCTGCGGCAGCCTGCAGAAGGCAGTGCCTCCAGTTCTTCGGCTGCAGCTGGCAGCCAGCCCCCTCCAGAGCCTGCAAAAGGCAAGGGCAAACAGCCCCCTCCAGAGCCTGCAGAAGGCAAGGGCAAATCCCCTCCACAGCCTGCAAAAGGCAAGGCGGCAGCAAAGGCTGCTGCCCGGGATCCGCCGGCCATCAGCAAAGCGGCGACCAAGGTGGCCAAGGGCTCCGGGAAGCCTGCACAAGGCTCAGATCCAACCGCTAGCGGCTCAGCCGCAAAGGTAGAAGAAAAAGAGGATGATGAACAAGAGGAGAAGCCTGAACAAGGCGACGACGACACTTGCAACGAACCACAGCCCGAGCAGGGCCAAAACGACAATGACGACGCCAAGCCCGAACAGGGCAGTACGAGGGTGAAAGAAGAGCCCGACTACAACTGAAGCCCGAGCAGGGCAGCACAAGCCCGAACAGGGCGAAGGGTCAATGAACCCTGCCGATCGACGGCTGCTCGCAGCCAGCAAAAAAAGCTGGGCGAGCCTAGGTTTCGGTGGTTTGGGGTTTAGGGGTTAATGGTTTAGGGGTTAATGGTTCGGGCTTTAGGGTTTAAGGGTTAAGGGTTTGGGGTTTAGTGGCTTAGGGGGGTCTCGGGTTTAGGGGTTTAGGGGCTTCGGGTTTAATGGTTAATGGTTTAGGGGTTAATGGTTCGGGCTTTAGGGTTTAGGGGTTAAGGGTTTGGGGTTTAGAGGCTTAGGGGTTTAGGGGCTTCGGGTTTAGGGGTTAATGGTTTAGGGGTTCATGGTTCGGGCTTTAAGGTTTAGGGGTTAAGGGTTTGGGGTTTAGTGGCGTAGGGGGTTTCGGGTTTAGGGGTTTAGGGGCTTCGGGTTTAGGGGATTAGGGGCTTCGGGTTTTGGGTGCTAATGGTTTAAGCTTTAATGGTTCGGGCTTTAGGGTTTAGGGGTTAAGGGTCTGGGGTTTAGTGGTTTAAAACCTTATAACACTCAAACCCTAAACCCTCAATCCTAAACAGAAACCTCAGCCCCTAAACCCAGAACCCTTAACCCCTAAACCTTTCAGCCCCTAACCTTAGAACCCAAGACCACAACTTTAACGACCTTTTACCTAGACCCCTGTCCCCTAAACCCATAAACCCCTTAACCCGAAACCCCGAAGCCCGTAAACCCGAAACCCCTAAACCCCTAAACCCGAAACCCCCTACCAGCACTCACCACTCACCACCCACCACCCCCACCACCCTCACCTGCCACCCAGCACCGACCGTATACCATCACCCCATGCGCCACCCCTGCCACCATCCCCACCACCCGCCACCCACCACCCCACCACCCACCACCACACCTGCCACCATCCCCACCACCCGCCACCCACCACCACCATCCACCACCCCCATCCGCCATCCACCACCAACCACCACCCACCACCAATGCGCCAAAGGAGATTCGTACAAAAAAGTACGAATTCGCACTTTTTGAAAATTCGTACAAAAAAGTACGAAAGATTCTAAGCCCTTTTAAAAAGGATTCGTACCAAAAAAGGTGCGAATTTCAAAAGTACGAATTCATATTTTTTGTACGAATTTTCGGCTGCTGGCGGCTTGTCTGGCAGCCGTCCAGCAGCCGAAATTTGGCGCTGGGCACACCCGGGCTGCCCCACCACCCCACAACCCCACCAACCCCCACCACCCACCAGCTAGCCCCCCACCAGCCGCCCACCAGACTCCACACCACCACCACCCCCGACCGCCACCACCACCACCACCACCACCACCACCACCACCACCACCACCACCACCACCACCACCACCACCACCACCACCCCCCCCACCACCACCACCACCACCACCACCACCACCACCACCACCACCACCACCACCACCACCACCACCACCACCACCACCACCACCACCACCACCACCACCACCACCACCACCACCACCACCACCACCACCACCACCACCACCCCCCCCACCCCCCCCACCACACCCCCCACCACACCCCCCACACCACCCACCACCACCACCACCACCACCACCACCCACCACCACCACCCCCCCACCACCACCCCCCCACCACCCCCCCCCCCCCCCCCACACCACCACCACCACCACCACCACCACCACCACCACCACCACCACCACCACCACCACCACCACCACCACCACCACCACCACCACCACCACCACCACCACCACCACCACCACCACCACCACCACCACCACCACCACCACCACCACCACCACCACCACCACCACCACCACCACCACCACCACCAACCACCACCACCACCACCACCACCACCACCCACCACCACCACCACCACCACCACCACCACCCACCCACCACACCACCACCACCCCACCCCACCCCCCCCACCCCCACCACCACCACCACCACCACCACCACCACGACCACCACGACAAGTCCCAAGCCACCGCCTCCACAGCCTGCAAAGGCAACACCTACACCACCGCCTGCCAAGGCAGTGCAGCCTGCAAAGGCAAAGGCCAAAGCCCACCCGCCTCCTTCCGGGGAGGCTTGGAAGGACCTTCGCTACCAGCTGGGCAGCCTGAAGAAGGCAGGAAAGGGAGCGAACCTTCGCGGCCAGTGGGAGAACTGCAAGACCCAGTCCGAAAACAGGACTTTCTACTACGAAGGAAGTGCACAAGGAGAGCTTGCAAAAGCAAAGCAGCCTTGCAGAAGGCGGTCACTGGGCGGATGACCATGTGGGAAATCGGCAAGCTTGAAGGAGCAGACCCCTCGGTTCCTTCCTTCGAAAGCCTGTGCAAGGCAGCGGTTGAAGGGCTTTCGAGTCGGAAGCATGAAGTGGAAGCTTAAGGAATTGCACAAAGAGACGACGACGAAGCACTCGTCGATCACGAAGACGTCCGAGAAGGTCGGGGAGCTCGAAGATGAGCCTTTCCGGAAGGTCGAAGAGGCCCTGAAAATCGAGAACTCTGTTCGGCCGTTGATGCTGGGAAACAGCAAGGCCGGAAAGGCCGGGAGCTCTGGTGACGGGCCGCAGCTCGAGGAGGAGAAGCCGGAGGAGGAGCAGCCTGAGCAAGGCGATCTCTACAAGAAGGCCGTGCAAGGCTTGAGAAAGGCAGTGAATGCCTACAGCTCCACCGCCAGCAAAGTCACGACGATGCTGGCAAGCCTGGAGAAGGCAACGCCCGAGGTTCAGGCAGACCCGCAGCATGCGGTGTCGAAGATCCAGCTGGGGGATCTGGGAACTTCAAGCTCGAAAGAGCGAAACCGCTGGAACACCGTTTTGGCCAGGTGGCCGGCGACGTGGGCCGGGGCTGCTGGGTTCTTCAACGAGGCCGAGAAGGTCGAGGAGGTGCAGCTCGAAAAGAGCAAGCGCGAGAAGGCTCTCAAGGAGCTGAACAAAGTGCTTGCCCCTACGAAGGTTTGGGCGAAAGGCAAGCTGGACTTCAGGCTCGCAAAGCGCTGCAGCTCTGAACCGAGCTCGAAGAGAGCTAGCAAACAGGCAACACTTCTAGCTCGAAAAGAGCTGCAGCTGTGAACCGAGCTCGAAGAGAGCTAGCAAACAAGCAACACTTCTAGCTCGAAAAGAGCTGCAGCTGTGAACCGAGCTCGAAGAGGGCTAGCAAAGAAGCACTGCAGGCCGCCGGCTCTAAAAGCCCGTCCATTTGCAGGGGTTCGTGGGTGCATGTCGCTTTGTGCAGGGCTTGCCTTTCACATTGATGCTCCTGCATGCATGCCGCAGCTAGCTTTGTATAGCTAGCTCTTATAATGCAGATCGTAGCATGTGGCAGGACGTCCCTTTAAAGCTCCAGCAGTTTAAGCGCCGAAACTTGCTGCCATATATGTAATTTTAAGCTAGGCCGCCCAAACTTGTTTCCCTCACCATGCACCCTAAAGCCATTATAGAGGCCTGAGAAAGGCAAAGAGCTGGAAGCCCTTGGCGACGAGTTGAAGGGGCTCTACACGAGCAATGCTGTCACTGCTAGGAAGGCAGCTTCAGTTTTCAAGAAAGCCCATGATGCGGGCTTGGGACTGAATAGCCCTTTTGATAAGGCTTTCAGTCTTAGGAAGGCTGCAGAAGCCAACAACTTGAAGCCTGCAGAAGGCAGCGAGGGCAGCGATCTCAAGCCTGCAGAAGGCAAGAATGCAGCAAGAACATTGCAAAGGTGGATGCGGAAAAATTCCACTTGGCCCGACCTGTATTGGGCGGAAATTCCTTTGAAGTCCGGGAGGACAAAGGAAGTCAAGCCTGAAAAAATGCCTTTCCTGCTGCCCCACGAGTGGCTGGCAGATTATTTTTTGCAGCCAGGGGCAGTGGAGGAGGCCTTTCCGGCACCGGGCAGTCCGTTATCGAGGCAGCTTGGAGAAAGCGATTTGGGGAGCCTGAGGAAGGCAAACCCATGGTTTGTCTGGGGCTCCACGGGGACGGGGTGCCTATGCAAGGCAGGATGAATCAATCCACCGTCGATTTTTTGACGATCAACTTGATGGCATCCAATGCTTTTCAAGCGAAGCGGGTTCCTATCACCTGTGTGGAGAGCCGTTTTGTGGCAGGCCGCGAGACCATAGAAGCAGTGCAGCAAGTGATTGCATGGTCCCTGCAGAGCCTGGGTGAAGGCAGATACCCCAGCTCAAGACACGATGGGGAAAGCCTGGACAAGGCGAGACAAAGCATGGCAGGGCTACCGATGGCAGCCAGAGGTGGCCTGGTGCAGCTTCGAGGCGACTGGGACTGGAACTGCAAATACTTTGGAGCTCCTCAGTGGAATGAGTTGAAAGGAATGTGTTGGCTTTGTAAAGCCAAGCCCGAAAATTGGCGGGGGATGTATGCAGAGGACCGCCAAAACCAGAGCCTGAGTAAGGCAGAGTTCGAGGAGAGCTTGAGAGATCGCAACAAGCACGTGTCGCCTTTGTTTGGGCTGCCGGGAGTCTGCAACAAGACAATGAAGCCTGACTGGATGCATGTCGTCGACGAAGGCTGTGGTGCCCATGCAGCAGGCCATGTGCTCAACGAGCTGCTGGCAAAGTTCCCAGACAGAGGTGTCGAGAAAAGAGCTGAAAGACTTTGGGAAGAGGTACAGAGCCTGTACAAGGCGAAAGGAATTCCAGCCTGCAGAAGGCTTAAGAAGCTCACGGCCAAAGACATAGTCAAGCCTGGAAAGGCGCCTGAGCTAGCTGCGAAGGCAGCAGAAACTCGGTACTTTTGTACCGACGTTCTGCTGCCTTTGGTGGAAAGCAAGCGATTGCAGGAAGGAAGCCTTCATGACCAAGCTGTCTACAACGTGGCAAAGTATTGTGCGCAGATGTATCAGCACATGGAGGACTTCGACCCGAAGCGGCTGCAGAAAAGTGGTGAAAAGTTCATGAGCCAGTATATGGCCTTGGAAGAGGAAGCCTTGCACCTTGACCCCGAAGATAGCCTGACATGGCGAGGAAAGCCTAAGTTGCGCTACTTGGGCCACCTCTTGGACGAAGCCCGAAAGGGCATACACCCTAAGGACTTCTGGAACTATAGGGACGAGACGGAAGGCTACCACTTCCAGAAGCTCTGGTTTCGAGCAGGGGGTGTCACAACACGTGGCCATCAGACCGAACAGGTCCTCCTCAAATGGGGACATGACGAGCCCTTTTTCAGCTTGAAAGAAGCTGTGCAGTGAGAGCTTGCAGAAAGCCCTAGCAGTGACAGCTCGCAGAGAGCATAAGTTTCACGACAGCTCGCAGCTAGCAGTGACAGCTCGCAGAGAGCATAGTTTCACGACAGCTCGCAGAGAGCTTTAGCAGCTGAAGTCTCACAAGACACGTACAGGTCGCAGCTGCCTGCAAAAAAATCCGGTCGTGAGCGAGGGGGTTTAAGCCTAGGGTTTAGGGTTTAGGGGCACGTGCATGCATATATATATATATATATATATATATAGAAGCTCATTTTGGAAGCTCCATTTTGGAGCTTCTAGTTTTCTAGAAGCGCTTCTAGGATTTTCAAGAAGCGCTTCTAGGAAGCTTCATTTTGCAGCTTCTAGGCTTCAAACCCTAGAAGCTTCAAAACGAAGCTGCCAGCTCCAAAACGGAGCTTCCCAAATCCGCTTCCCAAAACGGAGCTTCTAGGAAGCCTAGGGTGCTGTCAGCCCTGAATGCGCCCATCAGCTGGAAGAAGGCACAATTCTCGCAGGAAGTCACTTGGTGCGGCTGGACCATACGCACAGACGCAGAGACCATTGAGCTCCGCGAGCTCAAACTGCAAAAGCTCCGCGAGCAACTCTCGGCACTGCAACAAAGAAGCAAAGTACAGCGTAAAGAGCTCGAGGGGGTCCTATAGGCCTTCTAAACTGGGCAACGTCATTGAGCAAGCACATGCGACCATTCATGGCACCGCTGTACAAAGATCTGCACAGCTGCAAAGGCACCCTGCATAGCATCTCCCCGAGTATGTATGTGGGGAAATTTCCTGGACAGCCTTGACAAGAACGCCAAGCTCACACGCACACCAGCTGGCACATGGCTGCCACGCAACGCACAGCTACTGGAAGTGGGTAGCCTAAAAATATCCAGCAAATCCGACGTATACCGCTGGTGCCGCCGTCACACAAGCATCAATGGGTGCGCCTGGCAGACCCGCATCGCTCTGAAGTGCATCTGCGCCATGAAAGCAAATTTGTGCTGGCGTGGCTGCAGCACTGTTTCTCGCACGAACAGCCGCGCTCGCTGCGCACAGCTCCACGCATGCACTGCTACAGCGCTGCCGACGCATTTGCAGACACACATCGCATGGGCATTGGCGGCTGGATCAGCACGTCCGACTCTTTTCTGTGGTTCAGCGCCATTTTCTCGGTGGAGGAAGTGCGCAAACAATGGCCGCAACTGCAAGGCAGCCTGCACCCTTACATTGGGTGCTTCGAAGCCCTCGCTCAGCTTGCACTCGCTCGGTGCTCATGGCAGCTGCTGCGCAGCAAGCAAGTACGCTTTGTTCTGCCCACAGCATCGGACAACACCAGCGCTGAATCCGGTCTGAATAAGCTCTTCAGCACTGCAGAGCCCCTGGGGACTTTTCTTCGCCTAGCAGCCACTTGGGCGCACTTGCACCGCGTGCAGTTCGAGGTTGAGCACCTCGCAGGAGAAAAGAACGTGTGGGCCGACAAGCTTAGTCGCAGCTCCACGGAGTTCCTTCAGCATCGCATGGCTGACAAAGTTGAAGTGACGCTAGCGCAGCTAGCCTCCGCATCGCATTGCGTCACGTTGCATGATCTCACGCTTGAGTGGCCGCAACAGCTACTTGACGCTCAGCACGCCATGCTCAAGTGATAAAACAAAGGGCGACGCATCTCTCTCTTTCTCTCATAGTGCGCTTCACTGCTCAGCTTTATTCTAGACCCGCCTCGCCAGGTACATCCGCCAACTCGCGCGGTGAGGGGGAAACATAGCAGAGATTGAAGGATGCACCTGAAGTGGGGGATAGCTCGGCATCGCATGCCTCTTTCTCCTACGGCGAGCAATGCCTCGCACAGCATCGCATCCTTAGCAATCTCTGCGGTAAAAAAGGATTGATGACAGAACGCTCTGCAATGCAATCCGTTTGTTCATTCGAAGTAGATTAGAGAACACCCAGGTTTGAATCCAAGCCATTATCTCACAAGAGATCCATGGCAGCGACAAGTAACATGTCACATTGTGCAGAATCACTACGAACCGCTTGTACGAAGGGTAAGAGCGGAAAGAGGCCGTGACACCCGCATTTAATTGCCTTCGACCTTGACCGGCAGCTTGCATCCAGCTTCAACTTTTTCTTGATTCAGAATCTGAGCTAAAACCCCTTTGCTGCTCCGGACCGGCTGCTGAGCCCGACGGTAAATAGTTAGACCAGACTGAACGGCTTCAGTGGGCAAAGCCAACTTGCTGCAGTATGCTCCTCAGTGCGGTCTACGACTTCTGTTTCACCTCTTGTTCGTGTTTCCGTTGCCCCAGCACAACCTGCCACGTGATGAGCAGTCTTCTGACGGCTGGCTGGCGGACTTCCCACCAGTGGCGGTGCTGATGGAGCTCGCTGCTGTATTGCAGGAACGGGAACTTTCCCTCAAATTGCTTTGGGCTCCGAGATTGCAGAAGAAGCCTTGATTTCAAGAACGTTGATCCGAAGCTTCGTTTGAGATTTTCGTTTCAGGACTACCAAAGCTTGATTTTGAAGGAGATGTTGGGACATCGCTTTTCAAAGACCAGAGTAAGTCCTTACCGCGACAAGGCTTGCAGACACACAGACAGGCTTTCTGACCACAACGACAAGCTATTTTCTTACACTGATAAGGGTTTGGGGTCAACTCTGGCAGTGCGTAGCCGTGGAGTCTTGGCTATCTTATACAGATCGCAAAATCACGATTCCTGCTCGTCCTCCCCCCCCAGTTCTCTCGCCACACGCGGGGGAGTTTCCATTTTGGGGGTTTGCATGGGGCTGTGAAAATCGCAAAATGGAGACTCCCGCGTCCCTGCCCCCCGCTCTCCCGCCACACGCGGGGGAGTTACCCTCGATCTCCCGCCACACGCGCGGGAGTTACAATTTTGGAGTTTTTTGGGCTGTCAAAATCGCAAAATCGATTCCCGCTCGTCCCTGCCCCCCAGTTCTCCCCATTTTGGGGGTTTGGGGCTTGAAAATCGCAAAACGGAGACTCCCGCGTCCCTGCCTCCCCGCTCTCCCGCCACACGTGGGGGAGTTACCCTCGATCTCCCGCCACACGCGCGGGAGTTACCATTTTGGGGTTTTTGGGCTGCGAAAATCGCAAAATGGCGACTCCCGCGCGTCCCTGCGCCCCCTTGTCCCGCCACACGCGGGGGAGTTACCATTTTGAGGTTTTTGGGCTCTCAAATTAGCAAAATGGGAACTCGGGTGCCAAAAGCACCCGGAGGGTTCTTGGGGATGGATTTTGGAGCTTGAGGGTCCGTGGTAGTGCCTTGCTATTCTGCATTTTATTTGATTCAATATGGAAAGGAATGATCCTCTAGATGATCTTCCCATGCAGTTTAGACGACATCCTGTAAGTCCTACTCCTAGTCAGTCCTAGTCATTTCTCTGCGATCACGAACACTCCTTCTCCTGACCCGAACCCCAGAAATCAACAGCAGCTTTTGGCATGCTGCGAAAAGCAGGTGCCTGTGGATGGGCTTTTGTAGCAGCAGCAGAAGCAGCAGCAGCAGCTGTAGCGGCAGCAATACCGGTGCTGATGCTGCTGATGTGTCTTGCTGCTGCTGCTGCTGCTGAAACCTTGTCGTGGTGAGGTTTTGATGCCTTGTCGTGGTGACGTTTGCAATGCGCTGGCGTGGTGAAGTTGTTTTTTGTTGTGGTCTCGATATTTCTTGTTATGGTGTGGATTCTATTTTTCTGTCATGGTAACAACGCGCTCTCTTTCAAAGACATTGTTGAGCGGAAAGTTCGCAAGCGCCGGGCCTCCGGATAATGCGAAAGGTGGAAAGCTTCCGAGAGCTTCGAAGTTGTCGGCCAGAGATCCTTGGAAGTAGCATTTTGTCATTTTACGATAGGGGCATGTTTGAGGTTGCGAAATGCATCTTCATGTTGTAGTGTGTGTATCACACTGCAGGCGGCCCTCCTTTTCACACAACCTTCTTGCGGCGAGCTTCGCTGTGAAAAGATTCGGCCACATTGAAGTTTTCATGTTTTCCATTCGCATTACGTTTCCATATGTTTTTATGCAAATACATCTTGATTATTATGAAATGTCGCGAACCCCAATATAAAATTTGGGGTTTATGGATGCCTGTTGAACAACAGGCCTCACAGACACGAGACAACTCGCGAGGTGGACTTGTACGGAAAGGAAAAGTGGGTTTTGGAGTTTTTGTGTTTTGTTTTCGAGTGCCTTTATTCCGTGCAATCATGCAAATTTACATGACCATTTTGTCGAAGACCTTTTCCTGTCCCCGTCTTGCACCGGAAGTGCTTGATTGGAAAGCGCACGAGGGATGATTCCAAGATGGACTGTTTTTGCAAGCATTTTGGTTGATTGCAAGGCCAGTTTTTTTTCGCAATTACGATATGTTTGATTGTGTCACTTGTCCCGCTCGACATGTGTCACATGACGGCAAGCTTTAAGCTCGATTTACCATGGGTTGGTGAAGTCTTCGCGCTGTGAGCACAAGTTTCCGGCTTGCGTTTAATGATGCAGAGTTTGTGTTCCAGCTTGCTAGAATTGAGACTATTCGAGTCGTTGCAGGCCTTTTGTGAGCATCGTCGTTGTCATCTGAGGTTTTCCGGCTGATGGCGCTCCAGCTTCCCCAGGCCTGCGCAGACTTCGCCGCGAAGTTTTTTTGCTGTTTCTTGGTTCGTTGCAGGCTACCCCCAGGCGGTTGCCAATCGCTTCCACTACAAGAGGTCTGAAAGATGCTTGCTGTTCGATTCAAAGTGAGGGATCCTGGACTTGTCAAAAGTCAAGTGCTTCTGTGCAGCAGGCGTCAGCCTTGAACGAGGGTTTGCTCGAAGTTCAGGCGGGGAAGCGTTGCTTGGCCTTGCAGCAATATTGTCAACTTCACGTTGATGGAAGGCTCAAGGCAAACCACATTTGACAGACGAGCCGTGTCCCCTGAGTTTTGCATTGGGTGAGCGTGTCTTGAGGGCAGTCAGTGTTGCTGTGCCCATACGAGGGCGTTGATGCACTGGCACTGCCTTGATTGCAGATCTTACGTGTGCATCATCAGAATTTTGCCTGCTTCGGGCCTCACGAAGGGACGAGACGTTCCCGGCCCGAACTTGTGTTCTGCCGCTGCCGAGGAACCGGTAGACACAATCTTGTTGGCAAGCCTTGGTGGCGTGCCTGCCTCAAGCTTTGTCTTCCATGGGTGCACCGAAGCTTTTCGCGATGTCCAGGTTTCGTGCCGGTTAGCCGCCAAAAGGGTCGGCCACAAAGGCGCTCACTCCCATTGTTTTGAGTGACTCATTGCCACAGAATTTGGGTAAGTGCGAGGCCGTGCACGTCGTGTTGCTCGATCAGCGGGCCTTTTGAACAACATCAAGGACAAGTGATTGGCAATCTGTCCGAAGTGTGAACACTTACGGCTTGTAATGGCGCAGTGCACAGGACTTTTTTGCCAAAAACCTGGCGAGTGATGGAGGCTGATGGTGTGTCTTCTAAAACCACCCGCGAGGATGTCGAGCAGCATTGTGTCAGTGTCAGGCAAAAGCAATGGCAACCCAGATGCAGTTCTGGACCTGGCCCAGCCGGTGAAGTGCTTCGTCACTCACACTTCTTACGTATTCCAGCCTTCTCCTTGCTTTCCGAGGTTAGAATTCGGGTAAGCTCCGGAATGTCGCGTGGAACTTAGCCTGAAGTCTCCCCTGGTCAAGCAGCTTCCAGCTGTGGGCACTGGCGTGGGTTGTCCAAGCTCGAGGATCGGGCAGCCATTCTGCGGCGAGTACGAGGACTGGTACGGAGAATCCGAAAGAGCGGATTCTTTGCGTCCAGCTTGCATGCCCAGAGGAGCAAGAGCATCAGTGCAACGGGCGGCCGGTGTACATGAAGCTCGGGCTGCCCGCCAACAGCCAGGCATCTTCACATCGCTCTCTGCGAGAGCAAACTTGGTTGCGGTTGTGAGTCTTGCCTTCTCATTCTCTGCTTATGCGACAAAAATGAACCATGTCGCCAGACTTTTCTGGAATGGTAGCGCGACGTTTGCTGTTTCAATCCTGTTGACGTTTGTATCTTTCACTTCGCTCCTGTTGCGCATTTGGCTTTTTCCGTTTGCATGCCACCACCGTTTTCTGCTACCTTCGACAACGGGGCCTTAGGACGACGTTCACACCACGATGCCAAAGCTTGCTTTGTGGAAGTGTTCTGGATGGCGCAAATCCTAGCTTTCACAACCGGGTCCATGTATCGACTCTCCCCCGAGCTATCTGACAAGTGCCGCTGGCCGCCCGGGTTTGTGGAAAACTTTAAGGGTCGAGTTCTTGCTTCTTTCGTTGGGTTCACTGTCAGGTCTGCCGGTTCTGGTCGCTTCGTGGTGTGGAGTTTGCGATGCCTCGCTTCTCTCAACATGCCCTGAAAGTTCAGGCTGCTCTCCACTTCTCAGCGTTTTGCACTTCCGAGAATCCCTTCCGAGATGTACGGTTGACAGGGTTTGCCGGCTCGAGTTGAGGATCCCGTGAACTGCCACTTCAAGACCTGTGGCAAGATTGGACAGGGTTGGCTGGTTTCCAGCGTTTTGTTGCATTTAGGGTTTACCATCGAGTTCCACCTCCCACCCCTTACTATGAAACCTAAATGTGTGGGGTTTGCCAATCCTCCCGCCTTGGGAGGGTTTCGAGTTCCTTGAAGGGCTTGGGCTTGGAGCCTTTTCGAGTTTGGGCCTTGCAATTTGCCCATTGTGAGTTGAGAGTCAAACAGGCTAGCAGGAAGCTCCTCCGTGAATGTGTTTGTCTTTGGGTCTGTTGGGTGTTTGGTGTACACGCGACTCAGATAGGCGAGCTTGTCCTAGCAGAGCCGGGGTACAAGTGCGGATATGTGGCACAACATGCTTGGCTGCATGGAAAGATTGCAGCTATGCAGGCCGCCATCGTTAGGGTGTCATTATTATGCGGTCATGCTGTGAAGGCCGTCTACCTGCTCTACAATGAAGCCAACCAGTGGGACAGGAACTCAGATTCTGTTGTGCCTTAGCATCTGGGTTGCTTCATCTTCTGATGACTGAGGCATTTACGCCCCACGCAGATGGACGACCTGATGGGTGGGCGTTTGTTACGGATCCGGTTTCGATCTTAACGTCTTCAATGGCTTTGCAAGCAAGTCTGCATCGTTTCTCACCGAAGGCGCTGGATCCGCCGACGATTGCTGGTACATTCAGCATTTGGGTCCGCCCATCAGATGCCAGCAGTGGTTTGCCGCGGTCTGCCGACGTGTCTTTCTCGTCTTTTCGGCAGTTGCTGTTTTTCTCCTTTTTCTGGTGCTCCGCTCTGATCATTGTGCGTCTCCACATCGTGTCGGCTTGAGGCTTGTTTCCCGGCTTTTCGTGCTGCAGGTGATCACGTTTTCCCTTCCAAAGCTTCGGGCTGCTTCAGCTCAACGGATGCCTTCTCGTTGTGTTTGCGCAAAGGCTTACCTACCTGGCTGTTTCCGGTCATTCGTGGCCAGTGCAGAATTGCAGCAACAGAGAACGGGGATGCCGTGCCCAACGAGAGTCGCAAAGAGAGCACACGGATTCAGCTCACAATTCCCTCTGTACGTCTTTTGGCCAGCTTGCTGGCTTGGACTACTGGGGCTGCGTTCCACGCCTTTTGACTCTTGCTAGGATGTTTCTGATCAGAGCATCATCTTGCAGTGTTTTTGCTGTGGCTGTAGGTCGGAGGATTGTCACGCCAAGCTGCTTGGTGTCTACTTGTAACCGCTTTCCAGGATGGTTCCGAGTGGGTGCCTGACACCACGCTGAAGCTGCCAGAATCTCAGACCTCCGAGCTGAGCACCCCGAATCGGAGACTTGGACTTTGCACCGTCTGCACCAGGCTGGCGCCTGGGCAAATTCCAGTCCAGGAAGCTGCACAGGTCGAGGTGCTACGATGTGCTACGTTACTGTCTTTCTGTGATGCTCGGCACGGAAGCAGCACTACCAGGTCGTGAAGCAGCCCTCCGGATTGCAGGACAGGGGACTGTCTTGTCTGATGAGTCCTCATGGTGCCGTCAGCAGGATATCGAGCACGCAGAGCCAGCACAACCGGTAAATGCACAGACAGCGCTTCCAGACAAGGTCGCAGACCCGCATCTGTAGCTTAGACGCAAGTTGTCATATCCTGAGGTTAAGAATTTGAGCTTGCTCCACTGGAAGTCTCATTGGAAAGCATCCCAGTTCGCCACCTACTGCAGGGCGGGCAATCTCGGTCAAAGCTTCTCCGGCCGGTGGCATGTTCCCAGGCGCTGCCTCGTGAAGTGGCCAGAAGGCCCATCAGATCTGGAGAAGTCCCTGGCTCTGTGTGAGCCTGGAAAAACCAAGCCAGCAAGAGCAAATCATGAACCGAGGAAGTTGCTACCTTCTCACCCTGGTGTGCGTTTCCCTGGCCTTGTCGTCTCGAGTGCGTTCTTGGTAGCTGCTCGTACGTGGGCCCGTGGGGGCGCTGTGTGGCTGAATGGCAGGTCGTGGGGTGCTTCCGAATGGACTGAGCGAGAGCCCAAGCTCGAAGCCCGTCGTCGCCCTCGCGGTCTCGCGTTCGTCGGCCGAGGATACGTGGTGCTTCGCAATGCGATGCCACCGAAACGTTTCGAGGCCCGGCGAAGACCCTGAGAGGCAGCTCTGTCGTAACTCCACCAGGCTCACATCGAGCTGCACGTGGGCAGCATTGATGAGGAGCTGAGAACTATCGAGAACTACTTCCTCCGCTCTTCGACTCTCCTCTCGCAGAAACATGTCACTCTCACCGTGACTTTCTGAGCCCTTCAAGCTGGCAGGATCCAGATGAGCAGGGCATTGCTCACATGATGGAGCACGTTTGCTTCCTGGGCAGCCGTAAACGTGCTGTCACCCAGTGGCTAGAGCAGTTCTGGCGCTTACAGCTTCCGGATGCGATCTCCGGTATATGCCTGAGGAGAGAGACTGATTGGCACTGGATCCCGGTCCAATGCCTTGACGGACTTCCAGAAGCTCGGCAGCGATCCAGCGATTCCACACTGGGGGGTTCCTTTTCAAGAGAGGACGTGCTGAGCAATGGGTCCGTGTGTCGTCCGGTGTCCAGGCACACCATCTACCACATCCACGCGCCGGTGAAGATGGAAGATGGCCGATCGATGTACCCCCTGGCTTTAGAGGCCGGCAGACTCTCAGCTGCTCTGGCCTATGTGTACTGGTTAAGAGCTGTTGGAGGCCTTGAGTGAGATCGCCTTCGGTCCCGAAATGCTGAATCATCGCATTGAGAAGGAGCGCAAGGCCCGAAATGCTGAAGGATCCTTCTTGTTGCATCTCACCTCCGGCTTCCTCCTCTGGGTGAGGCCGTGCTCGCAGAGATGCAGCAGGTGAACGCCGGTGTCTGAAGACATCAGGTGTCAAGCAGCGCAGCTCTGATCTTCTCTCCAAATCCAAGGATATGGAGTATCGTATCGAGACCTGGACGCTGTCGGGCCTGCATGAGACCAACAAGCTGGGATCGCACGGCCCCCGAGAAGAGGATCCCTTCGGGCCATCGAACCAAGGAGGCGTTTGCGATGCTGTTGTTTTCCAGGCAGTTTCCCATCGGGAAAGAAGAGCAGATCAAGGCCTGGCAGCAAAAGGACCACAGCCTGATTGCTGCTCCGTTGGCACCTGAGATGCTTCCTAGCCCCTATTTCAGGACCTTCGCAACTTCCACGAGAAGTGGTACTATCCTGGAAATGCAACGCTCTATGCCACGATCCCAGCGACGAAGTGGCTAGCCAAAAAAGGCGTGCCTGAGTCAAAATACATCGTGACAGGTGGTGGGAGACTTGGATGAGACGGAGATGATCGATGGCATCAAGAAGGCCGCTGAACGGCAGAGGCAGGCGAAGTCAGAGCTGTGATGATCAGGTGTTCGAGCACGCGCAAGCGAGACACAAGCTGTTTCCTGAGTGGAACGGACTGGAGAGGTCGTGACCCCTGATCGCTCTCCAGAGCGCTGAGGCCGTCCCCGGACTCTGCCATCATGGACCCTGTCTGGGGCGAGGCCAGGCACGCGCAAAAATCAGTTGCGCCGCTTCATGGCCTGTGGCCCAGCGGCCCACCGGGTGAAAGGAGTCGGCGGACTCTCGATCTCTGTTTCGACGTCGCATCGCCCGGCACCGACCCGAACAGCTTCACAACTTTAGTCCGGAACTCGACCTTGTTGAGACATGGTCGCGCTTCTTTGCGCTGCAGCAGTGCAGCAACTCAGGCCTACCGATGATTGGCACAAATGACGTTTTCACAAAGGCTCCTTTTTGGCTTCCTTGTGTTTTTAGATCGGAATCATGTGCAGTGTGCAAGCATGCTGCGTCATAATGAGTCATAACTCATAACCATAGCCACTATGACCCTGCACACCCTAGCAAGCACCTCGAGTGGCGCTGGATCGTGGTTCAAAGCCGGCTTGGTACCGCCTCGCGCAGTCAGAGGAGCCAGGCTCCTCGGGGCATCGGATTGCTGTGAACTCCGAGCCTGTCTTAGCCTTGCCCAAGGGTTGGCCGAAGAGACAGAAGATGGCGAAGATAATCTACACCCACACGGATGAAGCGCCGATGCTGGCGACCTATTCTCTCTTGCCGATCATCCAGGCGGCTATCCATCAACTTCTTGCATGTGCTACCCGTGGCTTGCCAACAAATTTCGAAGGCGATGGTCCGATCCTCAAACGTGCGGGTGGAGACGTCGGACATTTCTGTGGCAGCAAGGCGAGCTTTCACAGACCACGTCATTTGTGAATTGCAGAAGCGCTTGAGGATCATCGCCTTGTTCCCAGAGAAATTACGACCTCAACAAAGACTTCGAGATGCTCTGTCAGACCTTGGGAAGCTCTGTCAGAAGCCGGAGGTGGATGTTCCGGCTGCAGTAGCAAGTCTATCGGGCTAGTCAATCAAATCTACACCATCTACACGCGCTTGCGAAGTATGGAACAGCAGCAGGCCAACATCATCAAGCTGCCGAATGTCAGTGCTAGTGTGCCGCAGTTGAAGGTCCAGACCTGCACCGCAGCACATGCAGCTGTGTGCATTCTTGGTGCCGCGGTGATTTGCCCGAAGCTCGTGATTTCGTCAGGAAGCCATCAAGGAGCTGCAGGGTCAAGGCTACGGCATTCCCGTGACTTGCCGGAAACAGTTCATGCCCGCTTGGCCTGAGGCTATCCTTTTGTCATGTCTCGCGTCGCCCAGGACTATCCTGAAGATCCGAAGGATGACGAAGAGAAAAAGGTGCAAGAGAAATACAAGAAGGTGCCGGAGTATTGGCCACATTGAGTGTTTTGCGCAGTCCCGACTCCACACCGCTGCAGGTTTTGGGGAGTGCAGTCAACCCCGTGCTGCGCGAGGTCCGGTCCATGTGACAACGTAATGTGAGAGTAAGAGTTTCGTTTTGGAGGGAAACTCGGACCGACGCGCTGCCTCGAGCGTGAAGAACTATGCCAAGAAGCATCCGCACAGGAGCGTCTGTGGCGAGCGTAGAATTCGTGAGGGCCCGTGAAGGCCAGTATCGCTATGCTGCCAGGATGGGCGCTTGGACTGCGGACTCCAAGACTCACGTTTCCTCCATGACGGAGGGTGAGCCGGGAACGGGGTCCCACCCCATGCACATCCTCAACACAAGAGCTGGTGATGGGTTGTGTGTGCGTGTGGGAGGGTGTGAGACTTGGTAAGCTCATGTTGCAAGGGGACTTCTTCGGAAGCGAGCGGTCGGTGACGCTCGAAAGCGACACTGACGCCGGAAGCCGAGTGTGCCAAGGGCCTGGCCGTGGCGAGCACAGAACATTTCCGTGCCTGATGCAGGTCAAAATCGTCTTCGAGTCGGATTCAGGGTCTACGACGACCTTGAAGGCTTTCGTCAATCGCCATCTCTTTTGTTTGCACATCCTCCAACTGCGAAGTTTGTTGGGAGTGCAGGAGAAATTATCGCTGGTGAAGGGAGAGATCTTGGATGCTGCTGCCATGTCTACAGTCAAGCTCAGGGAATATTTGGAGAAGGACCTTTCTTGAAATCCTTGCTGCTTTGCCTCAGAACCGTAATGACCGTGCCACCTGTCTGACCAGGAGATCAATGATGCGAAAGCCAAGGACGTGATGCTGTCTCTGCACCTGAAGGCCACCATGATGAAGGCCCGGAGTTTCGAGAGGGCCTTACAGTAACACGTAGGCGTTGATTGACTGAAGAACGGGCGCCTCAGATCTCTGACCCGATCCTGTTCGGGCACGTTGTCAGCATCTACTTCAAGGATGTTTTTGTGACCTGACGGACAAAATGGGCTGGCCAGTACTTGCAGCTGACCGCTCCATTGTTGGTGTGAGGGTAGCGCGTGACCAAGGCAAAGTACGAGGCGGAGTTCAAGGCCTTGGGTGTGAACCCCAACTTCGGACTGGATGACCTCTACAAGAAGCTGGGCTTGACTCCTTGGTCTCTTGTTGGCAGCCTGACAGCTTTCAGCCTCCGAGGAAGTTGGAGAAGAGCGAGAAGAAGGCCGAGATCGAAGCAGCAATCATGGACACCTACAAGGCACCAAGAACCAATGCACAGACATATGCATAGAGAGGACGCGCAGAGACAGTCACGGCGAGGTCCAGCCACGCCTGGCGATGGTGAACTCGGACAAGGGATCCTCGGCATCGCTAAGCCGCTAAGTGCAGCTGCACCCCGCAACTTTCTGCAATCTCAGGAATCACGAACTTGCATGTGTCCAGCAATGCAGCTTGGAAGCAATGTACACTGACTAATGCGAGACGAGGGCAAGCATACTGGAGGATGTAGCCCTGATGTGACGAGACTTGGGCTCATTTTGCAAGCAAGCTGTTTTCCGGGATCCCACGACAATTGCAACAATCACAACACCACCATCACGGCATATCACAGCCCTCACCATCATAATCACCATCACAGACTGAACGAAGTTGGCAGAAGCTCAATGGCAGATGCATCAGATTTAGCATGAAAGACAATGACAATGCCTGTCGGGCAGTCGCGCCGCGCGGAGGAAATGTAATCCGATGGCACCCTTTTGCTCGATGCATGATTCATGGGACACTCTTGCATCGCACATGCCAAAGAGCAGCCAACGAAAACCTCTCGCTCCCTGTGTGGATGTTGTCTGCAGTCTATGTCAGTCTCCCTGATTAACATCGACTATACATGTGGAATGTGCATTGCTCCTGAATTGTCTCTCAAGTGTTGTGGCTTCTTCATGAGTTTGTCCAATCTTTGTCGCACGATGACTGCCCACCTATTTTCACAAATTCACTGTGACGTGAGGGCAGCGAGTTCAATCGATTGCGAGTCTTGCGGCGGAATGCTTCTTTGAGCGGTCGGTTTGCATTTGTAGGAACATGGAGTGACAGGTCATCATTGATGCTTCCATGCCGGCAATGATCAGAGACGGCGGCAAGATGTGGAACAAGGAGATAGGAAGCTGCATGTAGTTTGGTTGGTCTTGCGCTGTCGCTGTGCTGGTAGCCTGGCAGGATAACAAGCAGGAGGACACGAAATGCCTTATCCCGGATCGCTGCTATGCAGGAGTTTTTCAGACTGTTATAGCAGCCTGGCCGGCACCTACGAAATACACAGACATGAGTTGATTTTCTTCAACGTCAGTGTCGCCCGAGACAACCCGTTGCTGGACCCTTCGGAAGCTCGTCAAGCCTGGAAACTGAGGAGTTTTGCAAGAAAAACGGAGCCTTCAACCCCAGCACTATGGGCACCGTGTCTCGGCTAGCATGCTTCAGGATGTGCTCTCATTCTTTCTCTGTGCGGTCAGCTCGGATGAGAAGGTTCCAAACGTTGGACTGATGGCCCAAAAGGCAGAGGAGTGACCTGCCGGTTTGAGTTCGGAAGAGTATGTGACCCGAGTGACACAAACAAACCGTGCAGTTGGAATCAGGTACGGGTCTCATGACAAGACCTTCGAGATGAAGGAGCCCGGCACCGCATCTTACCTGAAAAGGGCGACTGCCTACTTTCAGAAGCTGCTTTTGACCATTCTGGGCTCTTGGTGGCCCAGGTGAAGATCATCGATTCCTCCGGCAAGGTTTTACTGGAGACCAAGGCCGCGGCCGCAGCATGCATCCAGCCGTGACGTTCTGAGACAGACAGGTGGGAGCCGGGGACATCTGGCGTGCGTGCCAGACCAAGGATGTTGCCATCAAGGAGCGCTCACTTACTATGACTATGCCGTACTCTCTAAAGTGAGCAGACTAGGTGCTCAAGCACTATACTAGTAGCAGCTTTCTGGTAGCTTTGCAGCTTGTGCATGACTTGCGAGCCCTCATGACCTTGTTGAATCTCTGTCGTAACATCAGATGAACAACAACTTCTCAGTGACTGTTGCTTGAGTACGGGTTCGGAGCACGACCGAAGATGCATCCGGCAAGTCTTTCAGAGGACTGGGTGAAGCTCGCCATCACCAGGGCCAGAGCCTCGAGCACTCCAGCCATCTTCTGGTTGAACAAGGCAGGGGGGTGCTGAAAGGTAAAGAGTCCCTGCGTTCCTGCTACTGTAGCAATGCTGAGTCGAAGCAGGACCGAGCGCATGACGCCCAGCTGCAAAAGAAGGCATTCGTGCAAGGGAGGGATTCGTAGCAGCTTTCGGAAACTCGGCAGCAGTGTGAATAACCCCTGAGAGGTGGAAGCATACTTGAAAGACCATGACACTTCCGGCCTGGAGATTAGCATCAAGACGCCAGAGGAGGCCTGTACTGCACGGTCTTATTCGCTTCCAGAGACATGGAAAGGGAGACGGGATAAGAGCGGAGGCCGCGCAAGCTTCCTCTGATGTCCTCAGAAGAAAAGAAACATGAGCCATGGGAAGGAAAGACAATGAATGCACAAACGAAACATGTAGTTACAAGTCACCCACAAAGTGCAGAGATGCTGAGACAGCCTGGTGGGCCTAGTCTGCGTCGTCGAGATTTCTATGCTGCGAGCCGATGCATCAGTACATCGTGGAGAGTCCGGGCTGTAGAGTAGAGGGCAAGCGCAGGTTGCTACACTGGCCAAATATGGCCGAACCCGAGAGTGTGAAGACTTGTAAAGCTGGAGGCCTGCCTGGAATCCTTGCAGCGGGCCAAGGATGGCAAGGCCGCTGTTTTGGAGGAGGCTCTGAGTTTTGTAAGTTGTTGACTTTCATTGTGTGATCAGGACACCATCTCTGTGACGGGAGACTTATCAGCACGTTCGAGACCTGGAATGGCGCTCGTGCCTGCTCGGCATCCTGCCGAGGCAACGTGTTGCGCGACTACAACACAGACCTTTTCCCGATCCTGGAGCTCAACACCAGTGTCAGTTGCTCTGTTCTCCTTGACGGGGTCGGGCGATCCCGGGCGCGATGCTGAGGCCAAGATGCTGTCGATCGTGCCGATGCTTGCGGGCGGCGGCATGTATGCAGCTTGTCCTGCAACCTCCCTCTTCGTGTTTGCAATTCCAGACTCTAACCCTAAAAACCCTAAACCCGGTCCTGTCAAGGAGACCGGGGCTGGTGGATCTGCTCCAAAGCATGTTGAGCAGCGCCTGGATTGAATTACTTTGCATGTCTGGAGGTCTTCAGTCACAAGATGTCGCACGTTTCACATATTTGTGCACCTAGTAATGTGATACGTAAGTCATAGGTGCTCCCCTGTGCCCCGTGCGCTGAAATCTCATCTGTTTCACTTGCGGTTGATACAAGGTTTGTCGAGGAAGGACATCTGCGTGCCAGACTTAGCAGACTTAGCACTTAGCAGAGTCGGGTCGACGGTGCTACACTCTCAATCAAGAAGGCTGGGACTCCTTGGGGGAGTTCCTCGCCCTGGAGCCGTCATTGATGGACATTGGCACCAAGGGTGAGAACAAGAAGGACACCATCGCAAGACAATTGCAAGTAATTCGCGGCAAAGACGGAAACCGCTTAGTCTTGTGGTTCAGGCCGTAGTGCTGTCCAAGGCCTGGCGACATCTGAAGTGCCAGCCGATGCAGCCTCCTTGATGCTTTGCTGAGTTTGGGTCAGGCGCTGGGAGCAGCCATCGAGAAATTCTTGGAAGAAAACAAGTCCCCCTCGCGGAAGGCAGAAGCCAGGGTCGAAAAAACTTCAAGTTGCTGGTTATGTACAAGCCATGGCATGGAGCATCTTGCAGAGGTAAACGAAATCGACAACCGTGGCAGTCCGTGACCCATGTAGATCTTGCGCTTCCAAGCCGGTGGTTGGCTTGGCACCCCGAGGTCACTTCTACCTGTGTCTCTACTGGGTGGAGGCTTTGGCCAAGCAGGATGAAGATGAGCAGCTGAAGGCCTGCCTCCCAATTCTCACATACTTTCTCGTCCCCAGTCCCTGCGAGTGTCAGAGGCCCAGTTCACAGCTGGCCTGGCCAAGCTGAAGGAAAGCGAAGCTCAAATTGCAGAGGCTCGAGGGCCAGATCAGACCTGTGATCTGCGAAGTTTCTGGCTGCTCAGGACCTGGTGAAGTGCCAGGGAAAGCCGGTAGACATTGGTGGCTCCTAGTTGTGACATATGTAAGCCAGTCGATCTCGCGGGCCTGCATCCTTGTAATGTCGCTGGACGTACAGATCCCAGGCTACTACCATCCTGATACGCGAAAATCTCGCGCCTTGCTGATATGATGTGAGTTTTGTTAACAGGCAAGCAGATCAAGCAGGTACGCGTGCCTGACAGACTGATCAGACTGTCTTGTGCTGTCCAAGGCACTGCGATGCGACCAAGTGACACTTTCAACCGAGCCTCGCCTGTGACTATGTGGATCTGCCTGACCGAAGTTCGAGTTGAGATAATGACATCTTGCTGCTGTGGCATCTGCTGAAGCTTCTCCACCATAGACCTTTCACAGTGGAGTCGCCATTTGCGAGGCACTTTGAACTACATCATGCATTGGAAGCCCTTGCGAAAGCCGACTTTCACAAAGGTGAAGCAGGCACGTCGCATCCCACATGACTTGCCCTGTAACGAGTGGAAAGTTGTGTTTGTGTAGATCGAACCCGAGCAGCGGGGAGTGAACCTGATGCTGCAACTTGGCGTTACAGCAGCTGGACATTCCCTCGCAGACTAGTTGCGGTGTTGCCACGCTGCTACATGTCCATTTATGGCCAAGGAAGTGCGTGTCGTGCTCCGAGACAAAGGCAGAAGGCAATTCCTCAGGCTCCCCATGGTCCCAGAGTACTTCGGCAGGTAGGCGTCTCCTTCTCCGGCAATCCCAGCGTTCTACGCTGCAGGTTTGAGAATCTGGGAAGCGAAATGCGGGGATGAGACCGGCTCAGTGACGTTGTCGATTCGGAGCGAAGAGATTGCAGAGGCACATGTCATCAAGCGAGATGGCGGTGCGGGTGAGGGATGGTGCGGCCAGGTGTGCAAACCAGATGCATCCCTGAGACTGCAGAATGCAAGAGTGTGGGGCTGAATCTGGGTACATCAGGATGTCGTTCGGCTGCTGGCCGCAGATACACTGAGAGCCAACCGTCAGGTTGTGATGGTGAAGGGCTACATCCGCCTGAACGTGGACAAATGGGCCGTTGCTGGTTTGGTGCCAGAAAGGTTTTTAAGATTCTTGACAACCTCTGAGAACGCTACCTGTACTGAGATGTCACAAGCCTGCCAGATGTTCAGCCATGCCCGATGCCCGAACTGGAGGTTCTGAAGCCTGCAGAGGCGCCTTTGGAGTTCAGCGTCGACGGGAAGAGCCTCTGGCTAGTTCATGTCAGTGGCTGTACCAGTTGGAAGTCTTCGTGTCTTTGTTGCGTCGAGTGTTCATTTGACTGTCGTCTTTGTGCTCAGGAATGATATCTCCGCTGTGGAGTATGAGCTTACAGCTGCCTAGTAGGGCTTGGAGAAACAAGTGCTGAGATGACGGAGCTCACATGCGCGGTGCCGTGCCACGTTTCCCGAAAGGGGCAAGAGCGCGCCCCCGTGGACGTGAGGCTGTGGTGCCATTGCTGTGCCATCGGGGCTGCGCTACGTAGTTTTGATCCCCCTCAGCCCTCGAAAATCTCGTGGGGCTCTGAGCCGTCCACCGAAGGCTGGCACCTGAGGACTCTTAGCATTCCAGCGAATCTAGGGCTGATGGAAATTTCATGTGCAGTGGTTTGCCAACGTATTGTCAGGATTGCAGGATTCCTCCAACGTGCTCAGATTCAACTGTTTAAATAGCTGCCCTATCTGTTTCCGGATATTGCCAGATTGGCGTGTTCAGTCCTGGGAGGCAACCAAAGGAGTGACTGCATCTCGCTGCCCTGGTCTGGGTCTGCAGATGTCTGGAGTCTGCAGGCTGCTGCCTTCGATCCCGAAAACGGCGGCAAGCGGCGGCCCTCGGCTCTCTGAAATCTGAAATCTCAGTAGTTCGTAGTGAAGCTGAAGGGTGGGCATGTCACGGCACATGCCCACTCCCCGCAGAGGCCCTGGCATGGACCTCTGCGCATCTTCCGGAACGAGCTGCTCGAGGGCCTGCAGGCGCCACACGCTCACACGCTCTCGCCACGCTCTCGCTGAGCTCGCCCAGCTCCTGCCTTCTGAAAGTGTGAAGAACTCCACTGGTGCAGCTCAACTTCTACGCCAAGATGCCAGTTCGCCCCCTGCGGACCTACGAGGAGCCAAGATCTGCAGTGCATTGCCATGGCAGAGCCATGCAATGCCTGGCGGTACAGAAGCAGCTCGTATGCTTCAGGACATTCGGAATCTCATCGCCGTCCGAATCCTTGTGGGCGGGTGCCTCGGTGCCTCTGAGAACATCTGAAAGAAGGTGCACTGCATCGGATGCATCGCTTTGCCCGAAGAGGCGTCCTGCAGTTCCGCATTGTTTCGCGGTACTCCTCGAACCACGCCCCGGCCAAAGCTTTCCTTTGGAAGTTGACGTCACATTAGAACAAGCAGATTCTGGTGCAGGCACCGGTCCAAATTGATCACAGTGACTCCTTCCGTGAAGGCTGTGCTGCACCAGTCTTAGCGAGTGGGCGACACATCATGCTCTTTGCATCGATGGATGTTGCTTCGCCAAATGAGTGGCTCGTTTCGATGCGGTGAATCACGACTGAGGTGACCTCAATCACCGTCAACGCAGATCCTCGGGACTGGCGCAATGCACTGGCCTGCGTACTTCAAGAGGTACGATTCTGTGTGGTTCGTGCAACAGACATGTCAACTCGTAGATAAGCTGTTGGCGCCACATTGTCTCACAATGCTGCTATCGGATCATGCCTTGCAGATTCGTGCAATCTGCGACTATGGCATCACCGAAAGTGAGATGAAACGGTACATGGATGCTATGCTGAAGGAGATGCGCCCGTAGTCTCAGGTTCATATCCACAGATCACAACATGCGGGTGGGCCCAATTGTCAACAGTCGAAGGACGTGCAGAAGGGTGTGCAAGAGAATGACACGGTGCCCTCAGAAGTCCTTTGCTCGGCAGTGCTGCAGCTTGTGCTAGCATGTTCGTCTGAGCTCACATTACGTATCGCTGGAGCTTGAGGATCATCTCAACTTCATCATGACAAGCGATGTCTTCGACCACGCAAGATGCTCATGTTCTGCAGGGTACGGGTTTTCCTGATCGATGGGGTGTGTTGGAGGTAGTCATGCATCCGGAGCAGTCCTACGCTGCCTTCAAGGAGGCCTTCTATGCAGTGTCGGGTTCGTGTTTCGCAGGCGCTTCATCCCTGGTCCAGGTTGCGCCAACCGTGACCATGGAGCAGGCCGGTCCGGCAGATTAGGTCATCGCGAAGCGAGCAGTTGCGCCGCGATTAATGTCGTCAGTTCTTGCTGCGATTGGTTCTACTCTTCGGCCGGAATACCCAATGGAAGCAATGAGTCATGAACAAGTGCCCACCCAGCAAGCTGGAACACGCTGACCCAAATGCGCAGAATTCTCCGGAGCGGACAGGAAACACAAGCTTGTCCACAAAAGTTGCAGCAGCAACCCTTCATACTTAGCCGAGCTTGACGAACACACATCCATGTTATGGAAGACCACACGGAAATTCACCCGGGATTGTCCGTCAGGCAGCAGCAAGGGTCAGCATCGCACTCGACTCCTGAATTGCCTGATGCTGACTGCTGCGCAGATCAACAAACAGGCTGTCCACGCCGCCAAAGCTTTGGCCACAGTCCTGCCGCATTGACCGACCGCACAAATCCGTGAGCGATGACAGCCTTACGAGTTGAAGGCTCGTTCTAAACATCGCTTGTAGTACTGCGAAAAACAGCACTAGCAAGAGCATAACCTGTATCAACAGTTGCAAAAGGCACATGTCTCAGGTTGAGGTGCGAACTTACAGAGCCACAGCCGTGCTGTCAAAGTGCAGGGGATATGGATAGCATCATCACAACATTTAACAACGCCCGAGGCTGCTTTTTGCCTGTCTGTTGCAGGCCATTGTAAGCCAGTCTTAAGCTTGACTTTGGTGCTAACTCATACGACTTACGAGCTTGCAAACTCAAGCCAAACGCAATGTAGCTGCAGAATACAAACTTCCATACAAATGACTAAACCTGTTGTTCGACCTAGGGAGAGAGCTGATCGTGTACCCATGTGCGGGCTGTGGCGAACAAGTGTGAACGTCTTGTCAGCGTCTTCTCCTTGCAAAAGGATTGCGCAAGGAAATGCAGGGAGCTGGGAAGTCACGGGGTCGTAGCTAGCCGCTAGTCCCACCCTCAACCCCATGAGCTGCAGGGTGAAGCTCAGATGTTGAATGGTAGATCAATCCGCACAGAGGTTCATGCAACGGCCAAATGGATGCTGGGTTTCATCGGCTACTACGGCTTTGCTACTGCACCCCCGGTCACTGCCATTGTTGTGTGTGGGCCTTGGACCAGTGAATCTGATAGCAGGTGCAGCATGTAGATAGAAGTGCAACCCAGGTGCACTCCAACGCAGGTCTACGAGGACTTGCTTGCGAGTGGAAGTCCGAGCGCACACCGCTCACACATAGCCTGCAGGAGCACACGGGCAAATGGGCCGGACGCTGAGGGTTTTCATCTGCACATTGCGAGCTGCTGCAACTTCTCTGGACAGGTCCCCTTCAGCATAACCGAGCAGGAGATCATAGAGCTGCTTATCTCGGTATCGCCCTGAGACTACCACTGTGCCTCATCGGGAAGTGTCGATCTTTCGCAGGTGCCTGACAAGACGAAAGAGGAAGCGCTGAATCAGGCCCGGTCGTTGCAGGAAGCCTTCGGTCCAAACCTGTCGCGTTTCGGTGCCCTGTAATGCAGGTGGATGTGCCGGAAAACCTGCTAGCAGGCCTTCCAGTGGAGTTCACGACCTCGTGCAGCATGCACTGATAAAACAGGCGTTGTATCAAGCATGCGCAGAAGAAATGGTTGTCAATCCGCTAACATCCGCAAACCATCGCATGAGGTTCTCATTGGTTTTCGGAGCTTCTTTCGATTGTCGACAGCTTCCGTGCTGAACCGGGAAGGAGACAAGTTGGAGAAGCTGCTGCCACCGAGTCCCATTGATGCACTTGCCTTGGGTCACCGGAATCACGAAGCATTTCCTGGTTTAAGCTGCCAAGGCAATGACCGCATGGAGAGCGTCTTCACGAAAGGCATCAGCAGAACTGTCTAAGCCATTCAAGCTTGCTGTCATCGCGATGCCAGTCTGGGCAGGTAGATGATGCCACCGGAATCGTGCAGCTCATGTTGCCGAATGGGGCGCGGGTAGCCCTTGCATGACTCAAGGGGACTGATGCTGCGGAGTGCCCTTGCCGTGTACGTTGGGTGGGGGGTCGGGCCGGCGACTCGGAGTAGGAGGCAAGAAGGCACGATGTTGCTTGGCTGTGCGCAAGCACAGCTTCTTTCAGCTAGCTGTGACGACGTACGACACGTATTGTTGTATTCATGGTTTATGTATATGGAAACCAAATATGAAACAATACCTTTCTGCTTTGGCGAGCCACTTTCACTGCCGCCGCAACTTAGCTGCTTGTCTGTCGCACCTGCGGTGCACAAGATCTTCCGTGGCAGCCGGAACTCCAACTGGTCCAGTCAGAGGATGAAAATGATCCAACCAATGACTTTTCCGAACTGTTCCGGGATCACCAGGGCAATATGCCGGAGCATGACAGGATGAAGGCAGCCTTGTCCCTGTTTACAGTTGTGGCAGGTCAACTATGCATGCACTCCAAACGAGTCTCAAGGCTTGGTCCTGCCATCTCTAGGGAAGTGTTGCACGGGAGTAGTCCAGGAACAATGCGCATGCTGGTTCCTGGTGGTCGGGTTGGCGCCTTAGATTCTCGTGTCTCTTCTGGTCCCATGATTTCCCGCTCTCTTGACCGCAGTCCTCCGACGAGTCGGATGAGCTGGGTTCCGCTATGGTTGGCATCCGGCCCACTTGACATGTGCTTTTCTTTGGGCCATGGACAACAAACGCTCCCGTCGCCCTTGCAAGCCAGACTTGCAAATGGGGCTTCGTCTCTGCCTTGTGCTGGTGACTGCCAGGACCATCTCCGAATCTGGAGCTGTCGGGGACCCAATCTGTACAGAACAGAGGAACTTTCAGCCTCCAGCTGTCTGCAGACTTAGCGAAGGTCAGTGACTTCTCGCGAGAACAGATTGAGCTGTTTGCAGTCTCAAACTTGATGAGTGTCCATCTGGTGAGCTGCTCAGCGCCTGCTTGTTTTGACGATATGAATGTCTCCAGCCGCTACGAGAGAGGACTTGAATCTCGAGTTCTGCTACATTGATGCAAACTTCACCAACACCACGGGTGGCAGCTCGGCTGGACCAAGTATTTAGTGCCAGTCACCCTTCGCAGTGGATCACCCGCCTGCTCCTGTGAGTCGTGCTTGCAGGTTTGACAGCTGTCCGGCTCCCAACTGATGCTGAAGTTCATGTGCGAGGAGTGCAGGTGCTGAGACCGCACCTGCAACATCAGCTTAACATACGAAACATAAACATTGTCCGGATGAATGTAGCAAAAGCTGAAGCATGTGGAGTGGAATGCTGAGGTTCTCGAGCTGTTGCATCTGCTCTTCCAGGAGCTCGTGTTTCCGTTGCTAGCTGGATATAGCTGGCCAGGTCCATAGGTCGCCGTTTCGTTCCAGGAGCCACGCTGGGAGGTGCCAGCCTTCGTGAGGGCCCAGCAAGCCTACAAGGACTGGGCGGCGAAATGCTGTGACATGCTGTATGTCGAGGTTTCTCACCGTCTGCTTGCTTGGTCCCGGCAGGCTCAAGCATACGCAGTCCAGAAATCCTTGGCTTCTAACTTACGGCCGCACGTCGCGACACGAAACAGCTGATTGTGGTTTGTGGCAGAGCTGAGGAGCAGAGCACCATGGATCGACTGATGCGGATGATGTATTCCGCTGCTTGGCCGCTACTTTTGCTCGCGCCTCCGGCAAGGAGGGGGCTCCTTGCAGTTGCAGGACCCGCGTGTCTCCGAAGCGAAGATCGAGGACCTCAATAAGCTTACCCTGGCCAAGGCCGGTGCACATAAGCGTGATCCTCTTGAGCCTGTCTGCGAGAGAGTGCTAAGTGCCTTCGGAAGCTTTGGCCGACCCTGCGCAGGTTCGCAGAGCTGTGAGTGGACAGCTCCGACCACAGGACACTGGGGTGGAGAAGTTATGCGCAAACCCGCAGAGAGCAACATCCTCTGGGCAATAGGTGAGATTGATTTCACAACATCTGTCTTTTTCTCGGGCATCGTCCGTGTCTTCAGGTTGGGAACGTAGAGTATTCAGGAGACATGTGTTTACACTGACCCTTGAACGAAGATCCTTGATTTGGAGTGGCACCCGGTGAGATTTTCGGGACCATTCGCACAGCTTGACGGCCACTTGAGGGTGCTGCCGCCGACAATCCTAGGAGCTACCGCCGCGAAGTGTGACCGTGCGTGTTTCCTCCAGTGTTGTCTGCGCTGTGTCTTGTCTTGAAGTCCCTATCTCAAGCCGGCTGCAGTAGTCTGATTGCTTTGCATTGACTCGTCACGAACACTCCTCACAGATCTGTCACACGCTATTGGCCACCGTGAGGCGGAATGCTTGAGGCTTGGGGCGAGGATGGTGGCCTTTGGGCCCGTCTTGGCGGCCTTTCGGAATCTCCCTTCACGTCACGGGTGGGGGTGCAATAATACTGTCCACACTGGCCTGTATTCTAGCTCTAGTCTAGCTGATGACCTAGAAGCCAGTCTGCAGCCGATGGCATCTGCATAAAGTGTTGAGCATCGATGCCATCAACTTTTGGCAGGGACTCTGCTAGGCTGAAGCGATCAAGACTGAAACCAATTGGTGTATGCGGTGTTTGCTGCCAGCAGCACCAAGACCCAAAAGGGCTGAGCTTTCGTTTTTGCAATTGGCTAAGCAGGAAGGGGAAGCTCAGGCCTTTTTGTATGCTAGGGCTGCTAGGGGTTTGGCCTGAGGCTTCAGGCTGAGTTTTCAGAGTTTGAGCGCACAAGTTAAGCAGTTTGAAGCTTGGGGAAGGAGGTTCCAGATTGAAGACTAGGCTCGCAAGGCTTCGCGTCTTCTTCCACTCGAATTTGTGTTATGTTCGGTGGAGGGCGCTTCGTCCCCTCAGCAGTAGTCCTTTGTGATTACTGTGTCCGCTTCACATGATGGAGCGCGTCATGAGCGCCTCTTCAGCAGCGAAGAGATTCGCACAGACCCCGTGAAGAGAATCCTGCGAGGACTTGGAGATCAACTTGGTTGCCGACTTCGAAGGCCGAGGACACGGCAAAATGGCGAGCCGATGGCCCAGAGATGCCGAAGAGGGCGTACAGGCGCCCACAGGCTTCGGTGGGGCTGTGCTTGTCAGGTGTGGAGGGCGGACTCAGCACCGGCAAGCATCGCGAGGCTGTTCCCCCCCCACCAAGAGAGAGCAGAGTAGTGTGTAGCGGCCCCTGCATTGTCTCAGGAGGGAGAAGTCGAACCGGAGGAGGTAGAGCTTCCCGAGGCAGCGAAGCAGCGCAGGCGAGTCTTCAAGGAAGGGGAGACCGGGAGGGTGAAGAGAGAAAGTGCCCTGGAGTGCGTCGCTGAGCGCGAGCGAAGGTTTCTGGAGCTAGACGAAGCTTTGTGGAAGTACCTGGGCTCGCTTCCCGCCAGCGAGGTGGAGCAGGTGCGGAACTCTTGCAACAGGCGTAGTTCGAACTTACTTTCCAAACGGCTTGAGGTCAACCTAGACCGCCATCCACAGATCAACAAGGGCGAGGCCCGACTTTAAGAAAACTTCTCACTGCAACGAGGGCCATGTGACGTGCGCCACACGCAAGGAGATGTCTCCGGAAGACCGGCAGCGTTCAGCGCACATCGAGGAGCAGCAGTGTGCCCGTTGGGAGCAGGGCAATCCCACATGTTGTGTCAGAGCAGGACAGCGACGAGCGAGCGGTTGCCAACATCGGCGGTGGTGCACCAAACCGCTGGGGCAAAGGCGACAAGTACCATCAGGAGGCACAAACTCTCCAGTGTTTCTTGCCATGCCAGCAGCCCAATCGTCCTCAGATGATGGTGGCCAAAAAGTTCTCCTGGGATGCGCCGAATTCCAAGCTCAAGGATCATCCGCCGGGCCCACAGCCGGTCAGCCAAAACGCAAGCCAGAGAATTGGTGAACCTCCCCCGAGGCTCTACCCATCCATGTGCCTCATGGCCATGCGAGAGGTGGCCAAGCTTAGAGCTTCATGTCAGGGTGGAGGAAAAGCGTCCAAGCCGAAGCCAGCAGGTCATCAACACGCGGCTCTTCTCCACAGTCTGAGACCCTGGTCGGAACTGCAGGGAAAAGGCTAAGCACCAGATGAAACTGAGGTGCGAGATTCGCTGGGATTGTCCTACGACTGTCGGCATGGCATGAATTGCGACGGCCTCACCTTGAAAGCTTGTTGACTCCGCTTGGCGAGGTAGCTTTGAGCTCTCAATGTTCGACCGATTGGAGGCGAAATCCTGCAACTCATGCGCGACGAAGTCACGCATGTGCCTAGGATGCTTCCTGATATTGCGAACTGTTAGGCTGGATGGTACAGCTGCACCGTCAGTGCCCACCCGCACCTACCTCAATGTCCCATGTGTCTTTATAGCCTCACCTGCGAAGTTAAAGGTCCAGGATCATGGAGGCGGTCAATGCAGCCAAGGGCGTGCTCCAAGGACAGTGCCGGAGATTGCCGGAGCATGCCGGAGCCACGTCGTATCCGAGACTGGCTCTCAGGCGTGAAGAGACGCCCGATTTCAGAACTGGAGCTCTCCACTGCGAGGAGGATCAGAGTCCATAGACTGTTTGACTGTTTGGCAGTGCCTGAGTCCAGACCTGTCCTGTCCTGTCGAGGACCTTGCTGCGCCGTCATGAGACCGACCTCCAAAGCAACGAGCCAGCTCCCGATGCATGTCTTTTCGTTGCAGGGCGGCCGAAAGAGACCGGTGGCTGAGGTATTGGATCTCTTTGTTGACCCACCTGCAGTATGATAATCCAAAGGACCATGTTTTGCATTGACCACGCTTGTTTCGGATGGACAATGTGACTCACTGTGCACTGACACGCGCTTTAGCAATACAACGTGGAGACAAGGATATCAGCTGCGTGCGGGATATCGAGATGATGTCAGAGCCTTCAATGCACTCTCCGTCGCAACTGAGCGGAGTCGTGTTTGAATGCTAGGCTCGATGCGCTGACATGGAGAGATGTGCAGAATGCTTATCTGCAAGAGCCCCAGCATAGTTTGAAGCTCTTGTTGTCACATGCGTGGCTCAAGCCAGGACGCTTCTTACCGAGCCGGACCAGCTTTTTGTGTCTGTTAGTCCTGTCCCAAGCTGCCCTCCGAAGCGAAAAAATATACTGAGAAGAGTTACAGTTCTAAAACAGCTCTGCGCTGAGGTCGAGCTGGACCCGGTTCCAGTTTTGTCTCCGGCGGTCAGATGCTGAGCAGGGAATATCACTGCACCTCCCAGACACGTTCCCTCTTCCCTCGAGGTGCTGCTCCGACTGCCGTTTCCACGAAGCGTGCGTTGAGCGAAGTTATGGTGGACTAGCTTCTTGAGGGCATAGAAGATGTCAACAAGACATTGTCCCAAACCGCACTCGCAGTGACAGCATGAAGCTCCGAAAACTGGTTGCGAGTCGCATGCTCTTTGGATGTCTTGGTCATGTGAATGTAGTGCCGGTGGAGGCATTCAGCCCGAGTTGGATTTCTTTCGCCTTCGGGAGTTGGGGCCGCCAAGATCTTGTTCTTGTAGGGTTTGGGGTTCCCAGCCGCTTCTGCCACCTTAGGGTTTGGGGCTTTGTTAGCCACTTGCAGGGCTTGCGGATTGAATGATTCGTTGCTCCTGTTCTCGTTTACGAATCCCCGTCTCCTTTTTGTTTTCCTAGCAAGTTTTCGTGAAAGTCGTTTGATTCTTGAATCGGTCCTCATTGTTTTCGATTCTGTTTTCCGGATCCTTCCGCAGAGAGTTCGGTGTACCAGCACGGCCCGTACCCGTAGCCGTAACATCCGCCCGAGCTTCGCGGGCCATGCATCACGGGTGTGGCAGCGATTCTAGTCCCTGTAGTTGCCGACAGCACATGCTGCGTTACTTGTCAGTTTGCCTTGTTGGGGAGGTTACATGAATGTTTTGTTCAGGATGAGAGACCGAGCTTTCTCCCGCTTTGACTTCCAAGACTCTATTCTATTCTTCCGGAGGTTTCTTGTCTGTCCCACTATTGTTCCGCATTCCGCGATGGTTTCTCGATGGATCTTTCAAGTTTTTTATGGTCGAGCATTTCGTGCCTCGTCACGAGAGGGTGCTGGACCCCACAAGAGCACAAGTCTTTCCCATTCAGTTGTTGACAGCCTGCAGCAGTTGGAGAAGCCTATATGCAATGCTAGCTTGCCGGACGTCTTGCTACCGCGACTGCAGCAAGACTCCCGAGCGGTGATGCACGTGCTGCGAGACCTCCGAGGCCTGAAGCGTCCAGATTTGATCTTTGCCGTGTTGGAAGCCCTTCAGCGATGGGGTCAGGTCGGTCAGGAGACTGTCGGGCCAGCGCAGTATGTGATAGGCATGGCGGCGTGTTCTCGTGCCAAACAGTGGCAGGAAGGCTTGTGCATTTTCAATTGGATCCTGGAAGCCAGAAATGTCCCGGATGTTATTAGCTACAACGCTGCCATGAGCTCTTGTGACAAGGGCAGCCAGTGGTATCAGGCGCTACAGTTGCTCGAATCCATGCCCACAGCCAGGCTCGTCCCAGATGTTATAAGTTACAATGTGAGCATCAGCTCTTGTGCAAAGCACGGCCACTGGCAACGTGCTTTGCATGCTTTCCAGTCCATGAAGGATGGTCTGCACGGGGGGCCTGTTAGCCCGAATGTGGTGACCTACAACGCCACGATCAGCTCATGTGCAAGGGGCAAGCAATGGCAGCGGGCCATGCATCTTTTTGAGTCCATGCCGGAATCCGACATTTCGCCAGATGTCATCACCTACAACGCTACGTTGAGCTCCTTAGAAAATGCCGGCGGAGCGGACTTTGCTGTACTGCTGCTGGACTCAATATCGAAGGCCAAGCTGTCTCCAGATGTCGTCACTTTCAGCACTGCCATCAGTGTTTTTGAGAAGGTCGGGCAATGGCCGCGTGCATTATCACTCTTCAACTCTATGACCAATCAAAACCTTTCGCCCAACAGAATCAGCTTCAATGCCATGATCAGTGCATGCGGCAGCAACGGGGAATGGGAGCTAGCCTTGAACCTTTTCGGCTCCATGCCAAATGCTGAGATTATCCCAGACGAAATTAGCTACAATGCAGCTATCAGTGCATGTGAGAATAGGAGCCAGTGGCAGCACGCTTTGGAAATATGGAGGTCGATGCCGTGTGCACGGCTCTGCCCAAACGAGATCAGCTACAATGCAGCTATCAGCTCGTGCGCAAAAGGTGGGCAGTGGCAACTTAGTTTGCATTTGCTCAGCATCATGCCGGCTGCCAAGATTGCACCTGATGTCGTCAGTTGCAGCGCCAGCATCAGCTCCTGTGAGAAGCAGACGAAGTGGCAACTCGCAATTCAGCTGTTCGGCTCCATTTTGCAAAGCAGGTTGGTAGCTGACGTCGTCAGTTACAGTGCCACCATCAGTGCATGTGAGAAAGGGGGTCAATGGGAACATGCTCTTTTCTTGTTGAACTCCATACCAAAAGCAAAGATATCACCGGACGTCATCAGCTACAACGCCGCCATCAGCTCTTGTGCGAAAGGCAGCCAAGCCCAATTTGCCTTGCAGCTCTTAAGCGGCATGTCGCAGGCCGATCTGTCTCCCGATGTCGTTAGCTACAGCGCTGCCATCAGTGCTCTTGAGAAGGTTCGGCAGTGGCCGCTTGCCTTGCATTTGTTTGACTCGATGCCAAGAGCAAGCCTCAAGCCCAATGAAATCAGCTACAACGCCACCATCAGTGCGTGTGAGCAAGACGGACATTGGGAGCTGGCTTTGCGGCTCTTCAACTCCATGGCAGCTGCTGAACTTCTCCCTAACGAGGTCAGCTACAGTGCCACTATCAGTTCGTGCCAGGAATCTTCTCAATGGCAGTTGGCGCTGCATCTCTTCATGTCCATGCAGCAAGCTCAGATGGCGACTGATCGCATCGGCTGTCGATCAGCCATTAGCTCCTGCAGAGGGGAAGGTCGCTGGGAGCTTCTGATGCAGCTGTCCTCGACAAGAGCTCGAGCTTAGCGGCTGTGCTAGCTTGGCGTTCTTTTTAGGAATTCGTTCGCTGTTCAAGCTATCACTGAGAATTCATTGCAAAGCCACAGACCCATTAATCTGATTCCGACACCAAGTGTGCCACTTTACTCGAGTTCCTCGCCTCAATTTAATCGTATGGCTTGTCCGTAGCTGTTGGTAGCTGTCAGCCTGAAGACTGAAGCTGAACACTTTAAGTTTCGCGGCTTGCTCTATCTACTGTAGCATCCAAGACCCCCCAGGCTCCGTTTGCCTTCATGGGTTCCCGTAGGATTCTTGGCTTGGGGGGCATTGCTTTCAGCGGTACGGTAACTCGTGTCTCGTCCATCAATTCGTTGTTGTTCTGCCACAAAGCCAGCCCGGCTTCTGACGCAGTTTTGAAGGCAGCGATGCTGTCGACGAGTACCTTGGTTTTCCATGCATGCAGCTACCCGATCTATCCGCCTGATTTTTCTGCTCATGGGGCGCAGAAGCAGCGTTTCGCAATGACCCTCATGTTCGACATCTCGTTGGTGCCACGCTGCTGTGCGTGAGCATGGGTGGCATGGTGGGGGCAGGAAAGCCTCACTCGCTGAGTGGCATCAGCCTGCAGCGCATCCCAAAGTATATTTCAAACTTCTGGGGTCTCGACCAATCTGGTTTCTCGAGCGCTGTCTGCACGTGCCGTGAGCACTGCCAGCACTCTGACGCGGAACTGGAGATTCGCTTCCTTTTCCTATCTGGTCAACAGCTGTGCTTGCGATTCCGTTCCGTGCTTACTGCATGGAATGTTTTGAGGAGTAGGGCTGGTGGCAAGATTCCAGTTTCTAAGGTCGGGAAGCGACGGTTCACACGGCGCGACAACACATTGCCTTCCTTTGTTGTGTCCCCAAGCAGGCACTGCTGTCTTTCGACGTAAATCTTGGGTCCAGCTTCCCTTGCATAAAGGCTGTACAGCTACTTTGTGCCGGACGTCTTTTGCAGGAGGAGGCCTTTCTTATGGATCCTTGATTAACTTCAGACAGCTACCGGCAACCACACGGCAGGTGCAGCTTGCGTCCCTGGGCGGGGACTGCGTGCAGGTCATCTTCAACGCAAGCTGCTTGCGCAAAGGAGGACCCGACGGCTGCAGTGCTGAATGGCATGTTCCCGATCTGTCAGCGTTAAGCTTTGAGGCGCCCCCACTCAGCTTGCAAAGCTGGGCGTCTGGCATGGCTTGAAGGCCTTCGCCGTGTTGGTTATATTCATGTTGAGACTCAGACACAAAAGGCGTGCTCGATCCTTGGCTTGACTTGTCCTGACAGGTTCGATCGTGGCTGTTGAACTCCGTGGTCACTGAGTCCCATGGTGTTCTGCGACAGTCACACAGTCTTCGTGGTGACCGCAACTTCACCTGGTGAGGATCGTTGGCTTTCGCCGTTTCGCATCGTCTGAGCGCTATACAATCGTTAGGGAAGTTTGCAAGGTATGAGCTTCCACTACTCTGCCAAAGATGCAGATGGCTCCTACGCGTTGGTTTCAAGCCGTCGGAAAGGACAAAGACGACAACGATAACAGATCGTCTGATAACTTTGCATCCGGCAGCTGTTTGTGCCCAGGACATGCCGTGTGCCGACAGTTTGCATTGGGCATCGAGGCACTTGCTGCGTGAATTCTTTTTGTTTGTGCAGGGGCTGTTCTTCCCCTATGCTCGCCCCTTCAATGAGCTCGCTCGCTTGCAGGGCTTAAGCAAGAATGTATTGCCAGCATAAGAAGTATCGATTCCAGTCTGGCAGGAGGACGCCTTTCTTTCGTGTCGAGTGTTAAGGCGGACTTTCTCGATTTTGCTCGGCATGATGTGCCTGTCAGGGGTTGGACCTGTACCGTGGCAGAATCTATCGATGCCTACCAGACAAGGAATTGGTCACTTCCTTGATTAGAGCCTGTTAATTACTGAGCTACATATGTTCCGCAGGAATACTTGCTATGTGACGGCTTGGGAGGACAAAGCTTTGCAGGCTCGGCATGACACCATCTCGCTCACTTTCAATTTCTTGATGCAGCGGTTGCGGCAATCGACGACTCTGTGACACGATCTACAAGACACATTACAAACACTTTGCTTGAACGAACCAGGCCGCAAGAAAGCCGCCCTGTCGGAGATGGAGATGCCGCACAGTGCGCAGACCGCAGTTGGTGATCCTACCTCCTTGTGCTTTCCATGGTTGCTTGACAGGCAGCATGCAGCAATTTTTCCTGCGACTGCACACTGTCGCAGGTGACACGCGCGAAATGGGATTGTTGCACTTCAAGACAAAAAGGCGTGTTGGGAGGCTGCACATCGAATTCGCGATGCCGCCCTCAACGCAGGCCAGAAGAAGGGCTGGGCTTGTTTAATGAGGCATGAGGTGAGCTGCTTCGGAATCTTGGACTACCCAGTGCAGAGTTCAGGGTTGACTTTGCTCACGGCGCACCGACACTGCGCTCACCGCTCGGGGTTGTGTCATTATGCACGACAGGATTGCGACCAAACGGCGATGCTCCCGCAGCCACTCTGGAAGCTTTACCGCGAAAGGAGGTGGGAAGAACTGCAGCATGGCTGCAACTCTTTGAACCGCAGCCAAAAATCGGTCCTCTTCGTTCAAGCATCACGGCTTGCCGATGACCCTTTGGTGGTTTGCGTGCATTTTCTTGGCATGCATGTGGTTTGTCATTGTTCCGTCTGAATCTGCTGACATTCCGCAAGTGTTTGCTCAAGGCATGTCCTGTCCGGCAGCGCCGATGATGGGACCGTTGAGCTGCTGTTGGACGGTGAGCGCATCTTTGAAGCTAAATGTTTGTCCGATGCTCTATGGGAGGTCAGATTTGGCCCCCCTTTGTCTCATTTTCAAGCTCTCGGAATTATGACGGGAGTCTTAGACAATGCTAGCTCCGCCAGCTTCCACAAGTGAAACGGCCATTCCAACGAAGCACTGATCACCAAAGCGGGCCTGAAAGTGGGCCTGCAGTCTGCATCTGCATCCCAATATGGGTTGCTCGAAGCACCCAGCTTCCTCGTATCACTGCGAAAGTGTCGGAGATCCGATTTTGGGAGATGTGCCCGTTGTCCTTGCCACGTTCGTAAGGTTCTCCTCCACAAAAAATAGTGCGGGAAGGGTCCAATTCTCCAGTCTAGCTCCAGTGCCAATGACTCCAAGTCTCATACACGATGCAGGAATTTGCAACAACAAGATGACAGCGGGTTGCAAGATCCCAGTCCTGATGATGTCCACGAGTTAGCACAAATGTTGAGGTATGAGCTGCTGTGCAAAATCTCCTGCAAGAGTCAAAGGGACTGCACGTACATGCCGTGGAAATATGTGGGGTCCCCTTGGTGCTTTTGAAGGTTTGTGTAAATGTTCACTCGGCTCCCTACTGCAGCCGATTGCAGGCTTCGAGCGAAATGCTTAGGGTGCAGAGCACTATCAAGCCCAGCTAGAGGATCATTGCTGGTTGCTTGAAGTCTCCATGTGCGCACAAGCTTGAGCACGGATGTGAGGGGATAGACAGCTAACCTAGAAGCAAGGGAACCCTCTATCGGACCGCCGGACCTGCCGACCCGACCGGCTGGCAGATGGCAGCATATCGCTTGAGCGAGGCACGGCGAGGGCGGCGGCTGGACGACGAGTCACTGGCATCACCCCGCGGAGGGAACCCCTCGCGGAGCAGCTCTCGCAGGTTGGAAGCTTCCGTCATTAACGACCGCGACCGGTTGGTTCGCGACGTGAAGGCCGTGGCCGATGCTCAGGGTCGGCTGGTGCGTGTGATCGAAGATGTTTCCCAAGAGCTCTCGCAACGCTTAGCCGAGCACGATCGCCAGCTTGCAGATCATTCCGTGAACCAAATCTCCTTACGCGATGCTCTCCACAAGTTTCAGCTGGAAGAAGTCGCTCGTCATGATTCGCTTGCTGCGGAATACCTGCGGCTCCGAACCGGCGATGGGGACGCAGCTGCCAGGCTCACATTTTTGGAGTCCAAAGTGGTCGGCATTGACAAGGTTCACGCAAGCCTCAACGGCAAGTTTGCCGAGCTGGAACAGGCTGCAAATGGTCTGCCAGCAAGAATTCAGGATGCGCAAGTTATGCATCAGAAGCATTTGCAAGACATGTACCAGAAACTCCTTCGCAACATGGAAGAACAAAGAGCTGAATTCTTCCAATTCCAGGGACAGGTCTCATCACGCTCCCATTCCGATGGGCTCCTGAGTTTGCAGAAGCAGTTCGAACAGCATCGGCAAGAGTTGGATTCAAGACTCCAGGCAATGGGCCCACATGCTCTGCTTCCTCAGATGCAGCAGCATTTGGAGACAAGCTTGCTACAACAGCTGTCAACGCACCGGCAAGAGCTAGATTCCAGACTCCAAGCAGTAGGACCCGATGCTTTGCTTCCGCAGTTGGAGCAGCATCTGGAGAAGACACTGCTGCAACAGCTGTCCACTCAGCTGTCCTCCCAATTGCATCAGATACTTCAGCAACAACTGGAAGTACATGTGCAGCCGCAGCTTCAGCAGCAACTGGAGCAGCAGGTGCAGCAGCACTTGAAGGCCCACTACTCCGTGGGGATTCAAGAGCTGCGAGACATGTGTGAAACAGAAGCGAGAAGAAGCAAGGACCTCGCCAGCCAGCTGAGGCAGCGCTTGCGAGAGCAAGACGGCATTATCGCAGAGGGTCAAGAAGCCTTGCGCCAGGAGGCTGTCAAGCGAGAACAGCATTTGGCAGAGTTGCAGGATGCAGCACAGCGGTTAGCGCAGACTGCAATGGAACGTGCGCAGGCTTCCACTGAGGCTCATGCCCACGTCTTTTCCACATCCTCTTCTTTGGCGAATCGCCTGGCTGTGGTGGAAGGGGAACTTCAAAGCGCTCAACGTCAGGAGAAGGAACGTCAGCAGAAGAGGATTGCTCGACTTGAAGAGGACTTAGCGAAGTCGCCAGTGCTGTCACCGAGGGACAAAGTTGGCCCGAACGTTTCTGGGCCCGGTACAGCCAAGCACGTTCAGATCTTTTCAAGGTTTCATCGGCTTTGTTACTAGCCATCCCCAAGCCATCATGTGTTCCGAGGCTTTTCTTGCATTCCGGAAAGGCTAGAAGATCTATACGTAGCAATCGAGACATCGCTCTGCAGCATGAAAGCAAGTGCAGCGCTGAGGCTTTCGATCAGCCGAACCTTCTTCGCGCTTTAGATGAGCTTCGAGTTCAGGTGCGTTTTGAAGAAGTGGGCTTCATGCATGGACGGAGTTTGTTTTGGGCGCTGCCTCCAAGCTTGACTGCAGATCTTCGCGGAGCTCAGTGATGCTCGAAAGCACGCCCTTGCCACAGCATGCTGCAGCACAAGCTTCGGTTAAAATCAGTCGCAGTCTGTCAGAGATATCAGATTTTTGCGGGGTTTTGGAGGGACAGGAGCCTTTGCCATCTCCGTTCGGTTGTATTTGATCTGAGAGCATGTTCTGAAGGCTTGAATCGTCCACTTTAGCATGTCCTCACCCCAAGTCTTGGCATAAGGCTCAGCATCTCAGCGCGCGAATTTCGAGCTGCCCCGCCCTCTGTCATAGCCCGGTGCGGTTTTCTCCCCGTAGTGGCTTCATCTTTTCTCTCCGTCCTTGTTTGCATTTGAGGCGAAGCCGTTGTGGCAGAGTTGCAGCAGGCCCGGCTTCGCACGCCGGGAGTAGTGTCGAAGAAGATCTCGACTTGTGCCGGCGCGTGGAGTACCGAGTGAAGTCGGCTTCGGGTTGGAGGCTCTCAAGTCCTTGAGCTCTCACTGCTGCTCCACCCAGGGAATCTCACATGTTTCACGATGCAAACAGCAGTCTATCTCGAGACATCACGTGCACCTTCGTGTGAACGGACATGTGTCTTCAGGTGGCCAGATCTTCGAACACGTTGCCTGCCTTCCTTGCGCAGGCATCTTTACATGTGATCCAGCGACTTGCCTTGCCGTGGGACGCATGCAGAGATGTGGAACTTCGTGATTTTGTTTGTGGCGCGAGTGCCGTGCCCAACGGAAGCATCGATGCGCTTCCAGCAGTGAAAGAGGAGAAGGTTTTGCTGCGTTGTTGTCACAGAGCCATGCAGGCGTCTCCCAAGCATGGTGCTTCGAACAGCGACAGTGCAGGTCTTGGTTCTGATTCTAGGCGAATTTTCTGAACGGCGCGTCTTAATGCGACCACCGTATGTCGCCCGGCCCAGGCTGCCCTACCACGCCTGATTGGCCAGTGTCTGCCTGGCCGGGGCAGGGGCAGGCAGAGGGCACACCTGTTAACATCAGAAGGCTTCGATGTCTGGACCAGCAGGCTGGAGAGCCAGCAAGTCTGAAGCTTATTCCACCGAGCTCCGTGCAGTGGTGGGCGAAACCATATGAAGTTTTTCCAACTCGATTCAGCGTTCCGTTTGGTCCTGCCCACTTGAGAACTCCGTCAGGGCCGTCGTATCAGATTCCTTCCTCCGGTAGTTTCTCTTGGAGGAGCACCGGCAAGCGCCGTCCTTGTGTAGGTCGCGCCATGTCTTGTGCTGAGGTCGCTCATCAAAGCTTTGCAGCTTGCCTCCACCGGATGCACTGCTCTCAGACCACGTGCCGCTTGCGTTTGGGTGCGGGGCGTAGAGTTTGAGTCCCGCTCGGTTTCGGTTGAGAGCGAAGAGAGAGAGCGAGAGAGAGAGAGAGAGAGAGAGTGTGTGTGAAAGCGTTTTGTTCAAGGTCCCCACATGGCCCTAGTGGCCGGGGGGTCTAACCAACCCCTCATGCCCTGCGGAAGAAGAGAGCGAGAGAGAGAGAGAGCGTAGCCATTTTGGCTCAAGTGCTGCACCTTTGCTCGGAGGCCTGTGCCGCCTCCTTGCATCGGGGGAGGTGTGAGGTTGACCCAAGGCTGTACACCTTGGGGGAGCCTGCACACTTGCCCCAGCGGTGCTTGAGTCACATACCTGCCGCCACACTGCTTAAGGACGCCAGGTTAGTATTGAAGGGGGCGAGCCATAAAGGTGACCGGAGTGTGTGATACTATTTGCAGTGCGACGACCTAGGGACTGCAGGATCCTCCTCGTGAACGCTCTGCACACCAAAGGGGAAATCGTCTGCACCAACGACCTTCGGGAAAAGACCGACGAGCATCGCGAGAGCAACCCTTTTGCTGGACGGGGGAGTTTGAGTACCGGAAGATCGTGACTCTGGCAAGGCCGAGAAGATAGTGAAGAACATGGGGAAGAGAGGTGGGGGAGGCAAGAAAATCTGCAGAATATGCAGAGAAGGAGGAGGACTGTGCCAACAGGGCATGAGGAAGACCCACGAGAGAACTGACCCACAATGCAGGTTCTACGGGTCAGAGGCACGGGGGAACAAGCCCTTTGTGTGGTCGCGTGGCAGAAGCACGGCAAGCCAACCGCAGACAGAAGGAGGGGACAAGGGAGACCGCACAAGACCACCACACGTGCCACTCGAGCAAGATGACAGCCTATGTGACCCCAGGGGGGATCGGACTACACTACTTGCCCGGTCCTCTCGACAAATGGGCAGACCGCGAAGTTGTCCAAGTAGACGGGGGATGGTGCCATGGCCACTCAGGACAACCCTGACAAAAAAAGAGCCAGAGGAGTACAAACAATTCCGGAAAAGGCACCGAGCAAGATGTCATACAGCAAAGCATGCCGACAAGCTGGCCAACATCGTCGACAAATACCTCCCACACGTAGCACAAGAGACGCGAGCCTACATGATCCGTTTCCCGGGGGAAGTCAAGAAGCTCCTCGGCAAGGCCCGTCACATAAGAGCAACCTCCACCAAAGGGGGAAGCAGCGCACCAAGCACCACCCAGAGGCCGCAGAAGAACGAGGAGGAGACAGTTGATGCGAGAAAGGTGGGGCGGACAACGGGCGAAAAAGCCCGACATGAAGCAACAATGGACCTATGTGAAGAAGCCCACCGCGGGGAGCTGGAGCCGAATGAGGAAGTCGACTGGGGGAGCGCTACACCAGCCAGTGCACCCTCAACACAAGACGCAGAGACCCATGACAGCGCCAATGAGGAGGGGGACCGGAGTGCTCGTGAGCCACCGTGCACGCTTGGGTCACAAAGACCCAACGAGCCGGAGGGGGAGCCACCGCATAAGCGCCGTTTGGGAGCGATGAAGCCAAATGAGCCAGACGGAGAGCCGGGGGGACAAAGCCATGTATGGCTGGTCCCAAGCTTACAGTGGCAAGTGCAGCAAGTACAGCAGTACATGCGACGCCACCAGACGAAGCCCAGCACTGAGCGGCAGTGAGCGTGAGGCGAAATTTTCCGCCAAAGTGTGGGGGAGTCCGCCAGCACTAAAGCACTTTTGTTGTTTTGCAAGAAGGTGGGGAACCACACCAGTGAGCTTGCGAAGCCAAGCCTAATTCATGACGGGCCGCTGGAGCCATCAAACCTACTGCCAACCTGGGGCCTCATGCCCCTTCTGCACTCACTGCAAAACACGGCATTGAGATTGAGCCCGGCCGTCAATTCAGCTTTTGAATAGGAAACTTGTTTGGGATTTCGTACCCGGGGGGAGCCAGCCTGCAAGAGTTGGCGAACCTTCTTTAAGCAGCCTTGTAGGGAACTTTAAGTCCTGAGACACAGTGCGGGGGACCCCGACAGGGGGGACCACACTTGCCAACTGTTGCCGTACACTACAACACCTCCCTGAAAGGTGAACCCGCTGTCTTCGTTACTTGCACGGTTGCTTGTTTTCGCTGTTGCTTCATACTGCCAAAGCGGGGGATCCGAACTAGCTGGCAAACACGACCAATGGCAGCCCCACGATACTCAAACACGTTAGTTGTTTGCTTTATGGTCCTGTATCGCCCTGTCCTCAGTTGTTTGCTAGGGGGATCTGCCACCAAACGTAGAGCACACAGGAGGGAGGCGTCTGGCGAAGGTACTAAGGATTTTGCCATAGAGGGCGCGGGGACGAGGCCGGGACGCGGGCTAAAGTTCAGGGGGTAATCGCCAGACGCTCTCTACTGCACGTACATACCGTTGGGAACAACCCCGTGCACTCGACCCCAATGCCCCTCTTCCACCACCACGGAAGGGAGGGGGGGGGCCTTGGCCCGGGTCTTCGGACCTATCCCTTGAGAAGCGAAGCGAAGCGAAAAGAGGGCGACCACCCCTCTGGCCGAGTTGAAGAACAGAGAGAGATAGTAGCCATTCTGTTCCATTTGTTGGTGGAAGGGGGCGCCCAGGCGCGGGCTCCCATAGACAGAGAGTGCCCTGATGCTTCCTCGCCCCCAAGGGACCCGCGGCCGACACAGCACACCTTCACCAGGCAGTTTGGAAACCCAAATCGTTGTGAGTGTTCCCCCGACTATCACTTGAAGTACCCTGGACCTTTTTTTCCTCCCTAGGGGACCCACCAAACCTGCCGGAGCAGCGAGAGCTAGCAACTGTACCTTAGGAGTCGAGCACGGGGCCCAGACACCTTGCTGTCAGTGTCGATACTGTATGTGACCTAGCTACCTTGTTGTGTGTAAACTCTGTTTGCACTCAGAGGCCGTGCTCAGACTCACGCTCGTGGACCCAACAAAAGAGGGCCAAGCGAGACAATAGTCTTCCCAAAGGAGTGGAGGCCGGAGCAAACGATCTGAACGAGGCGGGAGCGAAGCCACACTGGAGTAGGGAGAAGCGGGGACACGCCCAACTCATTGGGCCCGTCTGACCAGCTCGTTCGCTCCACCTCCAGGTCTCACCTCTACAACCAGACTTGGACACACAGCGTAGCGCATGCGTCCTGGCCCTCGGCCCACACGCTGAGCAAGCAAGCAAGCAAGAGAGAGTGGGGAAATCCAATTCTTGAGCATGCCACCATATGCCACCAGAAAGGGCGGCTTGAAGCACCGCGGCCTGCGCTTTCTGAGGCTAGCCAGACGAACGGCCTGGGACCTTCCGCGGCCTCTCAGGAGGCAGAACTCCGCGGCGCGGATCAAATGCGGCTGTGCCACTCATATTTGGATGATCAGACTCTGCGACGTCCTTCGGACTCACCGACTCCCAGCTCTCCGAAGGTGCTGTAAAGGAAGTATCTTCAGGGAGCCTGAGCGCATCGCATCTGACAAGCGTGAGGCAACTTCTACTGTCCACTCGAAAGGCCCGCCCCTGCTGTTTTGCTTCGCTTTGACATCTGCGCATGAAGTTGTGATGTTGCAGGTGCTGCAGGTAGCTCTGGCCATGGCTCAGCCTTGCTTGGCCAGCGGCCAAGCGAGTGGACCCCTTTGTCGGTTCGAGAGCTCTTGGTTTTGAACGGAAAGATCCCGCGAGGCAACATGCCAGAGGGTCCTAAGCTGTCCCATGGATCGCATGGAGCGCTGCAGGTGCCGAGGGATGTCACTTGGAGTTGCAGCAGGGCTTCCTCCGTGAGTCTGCGCGCCGCAGGACTCGCCTGGAAAGTCTCCTCAAGTGGTCGCCTTGTCTAGCTTTGACGAGCCGCCTTCTTGTAGCTTCACGTACGCGGGTCTGCGCGGGGCTTCGGTGCACTGAGGGATCGACACGATTTGGTGTTCTGCCACCCCCGAAGGAAGCGATCAAAGGGCCAAGGGAGCTGTCGTCGGATCAGGGCTTCATGGGGCTTTCACCTTGAAGCAAGAGCAGCTGAGCAGTGCAAAGTGAGAAGAAACCAGGCCCAGATGCTAGCAGCCATGAAATAACGTGCTTGGTTTGTCTTAGCTGTTGACACACTCTCAGTGCTTGGAGGTCACGCCGTCAACACCGCTGCCTTTGCAGGCCGCAGCGAGCGACTTTCAGCTGCTCGTGCCCGTAAACGCTGCAGGCCGAATAGTCGGAGGAGGCATTGAAGCGGCGGCAGCTGATGATAGCTGATGCAATTCCGACCGACTGCTGAAGCAGCTTTGCCCACGTCAATTCATGGGAAAATCGAGGCAGAATTTTCTTGTCTGTCACATACAAGGATGCTTGGCCAGACGCGCAGTGTATAAGCTTCCTGTTTGGTGTTGCTTTGAATTCCTCGCCGAATGAGACCCGTGCAGACCTTTGACAAAGACATTCAACGGCGCTGGGGCCAACAGTAATCTCAAACGTTTTTCATGTTTCATGTTGTTCTAATTTGCTTAGACTGCTGGACATTTCCATCCATGATGGCGTGTTGCACAACTTGTATGTCGGAAATCTCCATCGTTTGTTCAATAGTACGAAGCAGAAAAGATGTCGCGCGTGTATCTGGTTGCTCATGCCGGCATCTGCGTTGGCATGCTGGCGTCGGGGTATCTTATGCAGGACGCCGTGCCTTTCAGTCGCTGGAGACCGGAAGTGTGTCTTTTGACTACTCGAAGCTTAGGACTAGCTCCGTGTCCGGGTTGCTCTTCGTTAAATTCCGGTTTCTTGAAGGCCAGTCTCCAGTCTGATGAAGGACGTTCGACCTACGGATTGTGCTCAGCCTGTAGTATGTTGGGGAGTTCAGCAGAACGCAGCGAATGTAGCGATGCGTTCCTTGGAGGATGCCGTGTTTCGCGCATGCAGCCTCGGCGCAGGCCATGTGACTGTAAGTCTGCAAGATTTTTGAGCAAGCTGTTGAGTTCAAAGCCCTCACGTGCCTATCTGTTGAACTTACGCACGACTGGGAAATCTGAGAGCTTTGATACTTGTGACGTGAGTCGCGGCGTAAGTTCGTACCGGCAAGCCTTATATTTCTTGCAGGGCTGCCTTGGTTCAGCATGAGGGTTCCGCTTACATCGGAGTCCCTGGCACAGGCCACGCAGCTCCGAGGACTGGTGCTGCAACTCCGGCGATGGCCGAGGCTGTGATCAGACCCACCGCAGCCCCTGCGGTCCCAGCTCCAGAGCCTCCGCATGCGGCACTGCCCGCGGAACCGCAGCCTGCCAAGTACGACAAGCTTCTGGCTCCTCCTATCAATTGCGCCACCGTGAGTGGGTCTATTGAAGGTGCTGCATTGAAGACCTCACTGGTCAAAGTTGCTGGTGAGATGTTCTGGATGCGCCACCATTTGCACGACCGCTTAATGGACAAAGTCATCGCAGGGGACTACGAGGCAGATCTGTTTGCAAATGTCAGGCCTTTCCTCAATACTGCTTGCACGATTAAGCGAGGAACGGTTATCGATGTCGGGGCAAACCACGGCGTCTATGCCATTTTAGCCGCAAACATGGGATGTAGAGTCGTTGCATACGAGATACAGCCTCGTTTGACACCACTCATCGAATACAACGCTTGCATCAATCGCTTGGGTGAGTCTGTTGTCTTGCGTCCGTTCGGTGTGGCAAGCACGCCCTCGCTTGCAAAGTTTACCGCGACGGACGCCTCAGGCACTTACAAAGGTAGAAGTGCCGGCAACAACAACCAGGGCAAAGCCTTTCGAAACACCGGATGGCTGGGTGCATTTGTGAACAAGGGGGGCCAGGTCACGGAAGATGACCCAAATGCTGTGAAGCTCGTCACACTGGATGAAGAAGGAACCAGGCTCGGCATCAAGTGGGTCGACGTCTTGAAGCTGGATGTGGATGGTTTCGAACTGGATGCCATCAATGGTGCCTGGGAGCTGCTAGCACGTACTTCTTTCTTCCAGTTTGAGATCAATGCCGGGGACTGGCGTTCGCCTTCAAAAGCCGCAGACTATGTACCTATGCTGGTGCGTCTTAGCAAACTCTTCAAGCTATTCCTCTTGCATCCAAGAGGATCGGCAACTCGGAACAGAGCATATGGAAACTTGTATGCACTCTGCCCAGATTCGAGCGCCTCATGTATGAAGGCTTTCGTGGACGAGGTCGTTGCGCATAGCAACGACAACATCTTCTGCTTTCGAATACCTTGACCTCACTTCGTGCCGTGCTTCGTTGCCTGTTGACAGAGCTGATTTGCAGACGAGTTCGTGGGAAGCCTGCACGGGCCGCTGTGATGCACGGTGCCACGGTCCAACCAGCAGACCTGGCATCTCCTTGAAGAAGGGAGTTATCACGGCAAAAAGCGCTGCTGCTATCAGCTTCTCGAACTTGTCGAACTGAGTAAAGGTTCATCATGGCTGCATGTTCTATGAAAGAACTCACCTGAACCTGAAAGGCAATCTTCAAGCTATATCTTGCCGAAAGTAGTCTTCATGACGCTTGCGTGCACCCGGTCGCGCCAGGGCTTGCAGGGTTTGTGGTGCCGCACTGAACTCATCCGAGCTCGCCCACTGGCTCGCCCAGCTCTGTAGCTCCGGTCAACCGGCTAGCACCAGCAGAAGCATCGTCACAGAGCTGCAATTTCCATCAGAAATGCATAGGATGTCGGCAGCGAGCATCTCATCTCGACGATTTCATCCCATAGAAGGTACCGTCATAGAGCCAGATTTGGTCGCTTTGCGATGGTTGCAATATGCTGGGCCAGCCAGAGCTAGCCGTTCCGGCCAATGATAGGTGCTGCAAGTTAGCATGAAGTCGTCACACTCCGTCAGGCAAATTTTTGCTACAAAGGTGCAGCTTCCATATACTTGGCAGTTGAGTAGCGTGAGAAAATCAGCGACGTGACCTATGACGGCATTCCATCAATACACCTGATGTGCCACCGACTCCACCGACCGTAATGATGCTGCTCCGCGCCATGTGTTTTCGCTGGGAGGCTGCCTGACTCTTAGCGGTCTTAGCTCCGTTTCTTCCACGCCAGTTTCTTTTCTGTGGTATTCGCCGCTCTTGCTGGTTCACACATGCAGTTTGTGTTCAGTTGCGAGGATGCTTTCCTGGGCGGAGGAGCAAAGCTGTCAGAAGCTGCGGCATGCTGTCCGATGCTGCAGCGTGAGGTTTGTCTTTGCATGACTTGGCTGCATCTGTACCATGGCACGTGGAATAATGCCTGCGCATTCTGGCTCGTGGCATCGGTGAGTAGAATGCTCTATGGCACAGGCGCTTTGCACTCTTGTGACACTCATCAGCTAGTGCAGCTGCGTCTTATTGCGACGATCATCATGTCACTTACTAGTTTCGACCGGTGTGATCAATTGTGCACATATCGCCCACACGGCAGGCTTTAAGCACACGGTGACGCAAACGCAAGTCACAAGTCCTATGTGCGAGCACGGGCCGGCGCCAAGCACAGCGGCACAGCCGGGGTCATTTTTCGGGGCCGATGTAGTTCTCATGGGCGCAAGCTATGGCCTCCAGGGGTGCCAGGCACCCACGAGCGCTCCAGGGTGACGCTGCCTTGAGTGCCACTGTTGACTACCTCTTCAAGGCTCCTTAGCTGTTCCCGCGTTGAGAGATGCTTTGTTCGGTGTTACTTTCTGTGTCATCCAGGGCCTCTTCGCCAGCAGCCTCTTGAAAAAGCACGTTTCGGAGTCCATATCTGCAGCTGTCAAGGAGGAGCTGCGACAGTTCTTAAGCTCCCCGGATGCAGAGTTTTGTGAGCATAAGAAGTCTTCGGTCACGGGGCAAGCAAGCTTTCCTCACCAGCCGAGGCAATGCCTTCGCTGGTTCGTTTCCAGATATCCGAATAGGTGCGAAGAACCCCGAGCCTTAAACAAAGACAGACAATCAAAGCTCTGCAGCATTTTGCAGGTCGTGACCTCCTCCAGGATTCCACCTTCCTCGGTTTCGAGGAGGTCGCCGATGCTAGCTTTGAGTTGCCGAGTTGCAAGACCCGCACGAAAACCCATGCAGGTGCTCCTGGCAGGGATCGAGGAGAAGGGCCTGGGGGGCAGCGACGCTCTCGTTCAGGTCAGCTGAACCGCGATTCTCCAGTCGCAGTAGTTGTTCTGGGACGTCATACAGACTTCTGTGTGGCCTCAGATGCCTCGCAGGCAGTTAGATCTCTCCTGCCCGCGTTCGAAGACGATGAGCGCATCAAGGCCTGCTGGTGCTCTAGTGCTAAGATGCCTTAAACAGCTTTTCGAGCAGCGATCCTCGCCAGGCTCTTGTTTCGGAGATCGACGATGCAGCAGGGCACAGCGTCATGGACTCTAATCGCGAAGATGCCGAAGAAGATGGGGACGGGAAAAGCTTTTGTACAGGTTGCACACGCGATGGTACTCCAAGCAGCACAAGTTAGAAGTTCCTAAACGTTCAGATCAGAGCTGTCAGGCATGCCACAGCCAGTGGTATGTAAAAGCATGCGAGTGCGTGGCAGATGGCGGAGAACGTGGAGGTGACCTCTCTTGCAGTTGCATGTAGGAGGACCGAGTCCAATTTGCGACCACATCCTTCGCCTCCAACGGTTCCGACGACAGGTTCACTGCAGCACTTGGCAGCCTTGAGAGAAGCCTTGCACAAGCGGCACCCAACACTTCAGGTTTGAGGTGGATGCCGACGAGGTGGTGACGGACAGCTTGGTCCCTCTAATCTTGCTGGAGGCGCAAATCGTGGAAGTCAACGAGTGCTGGCAGGGCTGGGCACTGAGTGATTTGCGGCCAGACTCTGCACCGGGCATTGGGGAAGGAGTGGGCTTTCGATAAGCATAGTTGCAGCAGCGTGCTTTTCCGCACAATCCGTTAATTGGTGATGCAGATTCATTGCATCGTGCTGTCTAATACTCGGCAGAAGCTTCTGCATTGTTACGTAGAGTTGGCACACAGTAAAAGATGAGGTTTCCTGGACTGCTACCCAAAGCCGGAGCATGCCGGTGAGGCAGAGTGCATTCGCCAGCTACGACTCTTGAAACACATTGGACATGTCAATGCTCGGGTGTCTGCATTCGGAAGGCAATCTTTGCAGCAATACTGGATGCCGCTCCAAGTTTACAGACGTTTTTCCGCGGCGGTACTGCTCTTCTGGCTGGGAAGTTCGTGGCTGGAGCCCTGATGATGTTAAGTGCATGATGTTGGAGGCCTGTCACGGTAATCCACTGAGAGAAGTTCGGTGTCATTCCGTGAGGATACAGCCAAATGGTACACAATCTGCGGAATCCCGATGGATTGATGGGTGTGGTGCTGCGCTGAGTTTCTGCCAATGGGTCTTCTGAGATCTGGATCTGGTTTCAGCTTGTTTCGTTTCTCTGCAGGCAGGGTTTGATGTCGCACAGTTTCTGGAGCGGCCGCTTTGAAGTGCTTCAGGTGGAGCACCTTGGTTTTCAGCATCTGGACGTGGACATCAACATTCCTCGCATTGCAATTTTCAGCACTTGGCCTGCAACAGCCGTGTGGCCGGCGCGAATCATGTTCCTGTATGGTCGTCCATGAGGGGGCAACTGCTCTTGAACTCTCAGCTTTCTGCTTTCAACCAGGGGAGGCTATGTGCGATGCGGCCACTTGGGGGCATTTGGTGCATTCGTCGCTCCTGAACCACCGGCGGCCGATGTGCAGAGGTGAGCGCGGAGCTGGGGGAGAAGCTAACGGATCTCGGTGCCTACGGGCTGCGGCGGCTCGTGAGCTACGCTGGTGCGGAGCCGATTTGTTCGGCTTCTCGGGTCTGATGTTCCTCGCGGCAGCTTGCAGTGAGCAGGCGGAGCTTTGATCTATATCCGCGAGAACTATTCTAAGCGCTTGAAGATCATCAGCATCTTGTCAGCCGCAACATTCGACTTGCTGCGCAGGTGTGTGTGTGTGTGCGCGCGCGTATCTCTCTCTCTCTCTCTCTCTCTCTCTCTCTCTCTCTCTCTGTCTCTCTGTGAATGTGTGTTGTGCTTTGTTTGTGCGTCCCGACCAGCTTTCTTTCTCTTCTTCCTGAATAGTGTGCAAACCTTAGGCAACAGCTGGAAGCTTGCAAATGCCGCTGCCAACCAAGACGAAGCACCACAGGCTCGCGGTTGCTCTTTTCTGCGTGTGCGGCCCAACTGCTAAGAGATGTTCTGATTCCTCGCAGGTGGGAGACCTCGAGGAGTGGCAGCTGTGAGCTTCATCTTCCGTGCTTTGAAGTCAGATAGATGCAAGTGCGAGAGAAAGCGCAGGACTCCTTGTCGGCCCCTTTGGAGACCAAAGCCGTTGAAGTGGAGGATGATGACGAGGAGGAGCAAGAAGGCAGAGCTCCGTCTTCTCTCGAGTTCCACGCGAAACCGCGCGGGCTGCATTTGCCGTTCACGGCTTCCGACTCCAGGCGAGCTCGCGATCGCTGGCAAATCTGCAGCTGCGAGTGCCAGTGCCCCGAGCAAGAAGGGCTTCTTTGCATCGTCGCTTGGCTGCTGTGCACGAAGTTACCACCAGAGTGGCAATGCTACAATTAGGGAGCTTGCGACTCAACATGATCCCAGCAAGGCTATGCGGGGCAAGGAGGCAGGTGGTCACAAAGATGCCCACCGACAAGTTGGACCGAAAGCAGAAGCTGCAGGACAGGCATTGGTACTCCACCGTCTTGTGTTTCTTAGCGAGATTTGTTTTTTTGCCATCTTGACAGGAAAATCTGCAGGCAGGCCGAGGACAAAAGCGAGGGTTGAAAGATCTTCAGCATTGACTCTTGCAGAGGCCGTCCCTCGAACCTTCGATCAGATGTTCCGTTTTAATATGGCCGTCATGAACGTCCAGACGCAGGAGTGGATGTACGAGGCGTGTGTCAGCAGTAGGGCGCTGGTGTGCGGCGCTTGGCAAGCTGCCGCTGTGACAAGGTGCTAGACTCCTTCGACTCCATCGTGCACAGCATCGCCCAGTCTCAGAGATTGCAGGAAGGGCTAACAGCAAGAATGCCCGAGCCAGTAGCCGCAGCTGACAGCACTTCAGCATGCTTCATTGTATTGACTGCAGTTCTGTGCCGTCTGGCAGGTAGAATGCGACGTCGTTACGCTTCGCATTGCAAAAGCCAGCGGCGATGTCAAGTTCAAGAACTTCAGGGTCGCATGCCGAGTGGGGATGTGGGGTTCTTCCCCGAGTGCCTCCGACTTGGCCCCAGGCCGTGATGCTGTCATCCCTTCGGGCCT